TTTTTTTTTTTTAGGCGAACCTGAAATTTTTAAAGTTGTGTGTGTGCCATCTACATTTATTTTTAACCAGTAACATATATACTGAAATTTACACATCTGAACAAATCTTACAAGTGTTCCTTTTATTATGACACAAGAATTATTCAAATAGACCTTGTGGTTGCAGAGATAAACTGTTTTTATTATGGGTATGTAATTTTCGAGAAAAGGCCTGAAAAATAGCTCAGGGCTTAAAGGGTTAAAGTCTCTGGATAGAAGACGCTTTTTCAAAAAGACAAAGGAGGATAAAGACAACAAGGCAACAGGTGAGGCTTGAGAGGTTGGACTAAGAGATATCTCTTGTTAGTGTAGCAAGGAGCACAGAATCCACTTCAGTACGTAATAAATAGCAGTAGAATGCTTCTGCAATGCATCTGAAGCTGCAGTGAATACTGGCAGGTAGCTGGCATAGAGTAAGGCTACTTGGTTGTATGGCTATCAGCCAAATGTGACCACTGACATCCATTCATCTCCTCGGGGATGGCGTAGTGCATTAATAGTTAGCTTTGGAGAGTATCAGATAGATAAAACAGAGTTAACACAGTTTGTCACAGTTCAAATTGAGCCACTTTTACAAAATAGAAGCAGAAGCTATGAGACCGGGCTTGGTTCATTTTAATATCACATGCAGTCTTGCATATGGCTGCTTCATCAATGACAAGTCTCCCATTTTTTCTTAGCATTTTACTAGGTGTTAGCACTTCAGTATGTGTGTAATGCTCTACCTTCCCCTGTAAGATCTTCAGAGCTTCAAATTTCCCTTCAAGGTAGCGATGTGTTACATCCAGCTCACAGCATAACACATCGATCACCTGTCAACACAGCAGAACCATTAGATCAACTTTGTCAGGTTGGAATCAAGCCCACATAGGTATATTAACTATAGTCAAACTTTTTTTCCAACCTCAGTTGCTTCCTGTAGCCTTTCTCTCAGTTCATCTTTGGACAAGTCAACCAAAGACCCTGTTGATTCACAATACATGTTTTCAAGAATATGTGTCTTTTCCAAACATTTTGTGCAGGAAAACATTTACAAAGTGATTTCTACATCAACCTTACAAGAGGCTTTTGTTTATAGGCATTAGTAAAGTCAGCACTTGGCTTTGGGCTTAAACTTGCTATTGAAGTAATCACTGTTTATGTTGTGGAAAACAGCTTTTGCATGCACCTCCTCTACTTTTGTGTATCTCTTGTGTTGATGGTCCTGGACCCTAACCTAAGCTGCTCTGACCTTTGCAAGCAATGACTGAAGGCTACCACTTGTGCTGTGATTAGAGAAAGAGGGCAAGTAATAGGTATTTTTTCTCAATAACACAACTGCATAATGAGATGATTTCAAGGAGGTAGTCTGATGAAATATGTCTACAGATTCCCCATACAGGTTTGTTACAAAATGCTGTCTGAGTGTCTACAGTGGTGGAGGCAGTAATTCACACTCCACAGTTTCACAAAAGGCCTCAGTCTCATTGAGAACACGTTATGACTGGTTACAAAACTTGCAGTAAGAAAGGAATATAAACATTGTCAGTGTTTCCATTTGATTGGATAATTTGATGTTGTTGAATGAAATTCTGGGACATACTGATTTCTGAACTGATTACAGTCAAACGATGTCACAGTATGAAAACTGTTTCAGGACATGACAACACAGAGTTCTGCACTAGGTTCTGCTCTAAGTTGCATTTGGCATCTGAACTTTTTTTGTTGTTCATGCTTTAGTGGCTGTTTGAATCTAACCCAAACTGCTCACACCACAGTTGAAATGATGAGACAAGTTAGTACAGGACGCTATACAAGATACTGTTGGAAACCAGGAGGAAAGCCTTACACTGCTCCCAACAATGAAACAAAAAGGTACTGCAGGAGAGAGGAAGAGTAAAAAAGAACACAATATGAACAGAGCCCAGATGGGATGACACCAATGGGACTGCATTACAATATTAAATGTTCTGTAAAAGCTGTAAAAAGCCCTGTGATTTCTGCACAGTAAGTGATTCCTATTAAATTACTGAGTCAACGAAACCAACATGCAGCATGGAGTTAATGTTTTATAATAAGCACACTTGTAAGCATTTCAAATGGCTTATGTTCCACAACATACCTATCTCTCACTACCTCTACCTTCACACATTCAGCAAATATCCAATATTCTTGACTCAATGCTAAATAACAAAGCATTTTGAATAATCTACACTTTAGATTGTTTTGCATACTTTTATTAACAAGTGTTTGTTTGGTTTATGTAAAACGAAGGATGAAGTGATGTCTGCAACCTTAAGTAAAGGGCCATTTCACAGACAATTCTTACCGAAGTGTGGTAACTTCCAGCGGGCCCTCTCTGCAGTCTTTAGAGCAGGGATCCAGACTGCCTCTCCTACCTGACTGCTGCGCATGACCAGCTCTGCTCTGAGTAGAAGGCTCTCTGAGAGACCTGCAAAGCTTTGGCTCTTCTTCCCGGTTGAGTTGGGAGTTTCTCTGGCCCTCATCCCATCACCCAGGTCTCCATCCACCATGTCATCTTCCAGGCTCCAGGCCTCACTGACGTCACCGACCTCCTGCATCTGCACCAGGTCAAACCTAACCTGGATCTGCTTACTCTGCCAAAGCACATATTGATTTTCTTAACAGCAGGTACGCAAATCTTTAACAGAAACAGAGTCAACTTTAACTGACAATTGGTTACATAAACAATCAATTATTGATTAATGGTTGAAACAAGTAAAAGGCAGTACGCAGTGATGTTTCTCCATATGCAGATGGAGGATCAGCCAGCCATAGCTAGCTTTATAACAAAGAAAGAACAGATGTTCTACCTTCTTAAGCTCTAGAATTTAAAACATTTACAGTCCTCAGACTTGAGACAGGGTCCACTGTGATCAACAGAGCAAAGACACCAATGCAAACCATCGCAGATGTGCATTCCAAAAGAAAAACACTTTCCAGGATGGTGTGGAGTTTGTGCTCTCAAGAGGAGGTCATGAGAAGGTACAAGGATACTTTAGAAAGTTATTGGTCTCACCCAGCTGCTGATACTTGTGCTGTGTGGATAGGCACAATGTCTGCATAGACCTACAGAGGGTTCCACAGTGCACACTTCCAGACCAGGACACCCAAAATGTGTATAAAGCCACATTGTGGTCAAGTGACTGGATCACATCCAAGGCCACTATCAGAACTGCCAAGGATCAAATGACCACCAGAAACACCATGACCAGTTTTTGACCCTGCAGAAAGTGGAGGTCAAAATTTTAATAAGCAACATCAAAGGAACCCCACTCACTCTGGGAAACTGACCTGTTGTCCTGAAGCACAGAACTCACACCAAACCAATATATCACATAACAATGTAAAGACAATCATTCTATTTTCTTGGATTTATTTCATTCTCAAAACTGTATAGAAACCAACTACCAAGCTTTAGTTTTTAGTTTTTTTTTCCTTAAATCCTGTCCCCAGTCATTCCTGAATCTTTCTTTGTACATTAAGAAGCGCTTCATATGCAGTGTTGTTACAACACTCTTATCTAATTATTTGGCTGGTCAAATGCAAAGTTACAATATGGAACTTTTCTGCATAAATATTCATACATCCATTTTCCCCAAACAGATTATTAATTTTTAGGAGGGATTTTTAGCCTTCATTATAAGAGACAGGAAATATGGGGAGAAGAGTGGGGGAAGGACCCAGAGTAAATGGTCATGGGCCAGACTTGAACCCATGACTTCTGCATCGGGGACTACAGCCCCTGGTCATGGGTCGCCCGCCCAACCTGCTGAGCTATTCGGGAGCCCACTAAATTGTTAATTTAATAGCAAAGAATAATGGCTTAATTTCAAATTGCTCTTCAATGATTGGTTCAACGAAATCTGAGGTATTAAACAGTGAACAAGCTGCAGTCCTCCACGGTAAATGACCTGTAATGTTATTAATCTCATCACATCTTTTTGATAACAGAATAATCCTCACAACTGATGTACATATGATTTATTCACTGAAGTTGTTAGTCCAGTTGCTGGAAACAGCTGCTCAGCTGTAAGATTCGCCACAAATACTGTTGCAACAACACCAGATTTAAAGAAAAAAAAAAAAGAAAAAAAGACGGTCAGCAAACAGACCTGTAACTCCGTCACATTAGGCTTTACCTGGCTGACCAACCAGGTACTACAAGCAAATATACAATATGTTTTCTTCCTTATTGGTTAATGTGTTTTTAATAAAGTATATTATGAATGAGCTATTGGCAATCAATTATCACCATCTATAAGCCCATATTAGTCATCCATTGCACATTTTTGAAGGAGCAGTCAGGGACAGGGCTGCTTATCATTTTGGATTTTTGCCATGTGTTTTACTTTAATGTGACGAAATTCCTAAGTTTTTAACTGGTTTTCGCTGTTTTTTGATTTACTGTAAACATATCAGCCGCATTCATAGATGTGAGGCACATTAACTTTTTCACATTTGATCTTGTAACTATCTTAGATACAATTGAGTCTAAACTATTCCTACCCACATACGCCACATTATTACAGTAGTTTTTCAGTCAAATACAAGTCAATGGCTCGTCCAAAGCCAAAGAGCACAGCAAGCTGCTGTTAAGGTCCACCACTAAGAGAAAAAGCTGCGTCCCAAGTGCAAAGCATCATCAAAAAGTACAAAGAGTTCCACACCTTGAGAAATCGCAAAGGGCGTGAGAGGAAACCAAAAGTGACTTTTGAACTGGCAAAAGAAAGGCCAAGAAAAATTCAAGCTCATCCTGATGAGTCTGGGCAATTCGGGTAGCAACATCTTAAATAGACACTGAACAAGGCAGGTCTCTATAGACGCAGACCAAGTGTAGGAGCCAAATTGAGCTGTTAATGTTATTTCTTGTTGTTGGTGTGTGGATGTGAGTGGGAGACGGAGAGAGTACAGGTGCATGTGTGCCTGTAGGGGAATGAGTTGTAATGATTGTGTTTAACTCCACCGAGAGGAGGCCGGAGAGTCTAACTCCACCTGACTGAGGAAGTTGGAGGTGGAGCCCACTGGAGAAGGCTTCAGAATGAGCTGCCACAGCATCAGGTGTGGCTGACGAAGGCAAACAGTTTTCTGACCATGTGGCTGCACAGAGGAACCAGGCCTTCTTAAAGACTTTTGATTTGTCACGTTTTTATTTTATTTTTGACTTGCAATTCAACGAAGAAGAAATGCAATAAATGGTCAGTGGGACCGACTGAATCCACTTCGACTCATCATGATTCATCTGCATGTGTCAAGACTAAAACCAACCCATCCATCAGTAGTGGTCAAGCAGCAAACGAAAAGGGGCATTGCTGAAATTGCCAATACACCAAGGACAACCCACTTCTCCAAAACAGACACACAAACTTTACCTAGCCTTTGCAAAAGCTCACCTAAGCACACAAAAACACTTTTGGTTGTCAAAGGCAATCTGCAGAAGAAAACGTGGCCTTTGGCAGCACTGGACCTTATAGTAAGACAACAATCTGAAACATACAGCCAAAGAGGTGAAAAATGGTTGACAGAAAATATGAATATGTCCATGTGGTCCAGTCAGTCGACACCTGAATCCTATCCAGAGTATAAGGAACTTAAGACCAGAGTGACTGAATGGGAAACTTCAAAGACCTGGAGATCGTCACAAAGTAGATTCCAGCTGAGACATGCAGGAAGCTGGTTAGAGATTATACAAACTGTTTAATTTAGTGGCAAATAAAGGAATAAAGCCCTTATTACTGACTTCTCATGAAGGATATGAATAACACTTAAATATGTAAATATGTAAACATGAAAGTAAAGTAAGCATTATATAAGTATTAGATAGCAAAAATGAAAACACTAAACAGAAAGAAGCCCTTTGATAGACTGACCACCTGTCCAGTGTGTACATCACCTTTGTCCTATGTCAGCTGAGATAGGCTCCAGCCCTCGCTCAGCTCTCAGAAGAACAAAGTAAAGTGATGTATAGAAACTGCTTGGACAAAACAGAAACAGTTTTTATTTCTCATTGCAACCTGGAACACAGTGTGTCACCACCTGCTGTCATTTCCAGCCAGAAGAAACTTGTTCATTAATTAGAAATCACTAGAAATCTAAATTTGACTTCAACTGTGTGTCTCCACTCAGCAGGGTAGAGCTGCAAACTTTCCTTAAGCTGCATTCTTCTGACTCTTTGGAGTTTTTGTTAAATTTTCAACCATTTTTTCACAACTCTCTGAATATGTTTCTGTTAATCCCTGTGTATTCATCGTGTTGTGTCTGTGTGCTGCTAATTGTGGGGTTATCTAGATATTATTGTTAACTGTGAATAGTCTCTTTTGGTAAAAGTCCATCCAGTAGTGATTCTGACTCACTGTATTTGTCTCCAGATGAAATCATGACTGACTTACTGATTAATATATTGACTAATTCTTGAAAGACTTGATGAAACACAAAAAAGAGAAAAACAAAACTTGTAAAATATATTCTAGAAAGATCTTCAGCATTTGAAAATATTGGGACATTTCACGTGAAATGTCAGGATACTTAGTTTTTAATAAATTACTTGCTCTTACCTGCAACTTTAAAAGAAATAAACTTTGTATTCCTGGGTCCGGTGCTTTCCAAACTCCTCCAACACAAACACAAAAGTTTAAACCTACAGAACCATGTAATAGTCAGGTGTTACCTGATGTCAGAGCTGAAACAAGACTAACACGAACTACAAGGAAACGCTATCCTCAAGACTCAAGTTACAAGGAGCAACACCGAGCTACATCCTGTCATTCCTTCACATTCCTTCCATGTACTAGATCGTTTGTTGTATTTCCACAAACACCAAGCATGATGCTGGAAATAACTGACTTCAATAACAGCATATAAAAACAGCATCATAACGAACAAAAATGAAAGCAAGAAATCCTGAAATACCACAAGTCAGACAACAGAGTACATTAAAAAAATATTTCTGCCTGATAATAAAATTATCATACTTTTTTAAAAAATTATTTTTAGAAATCATTTAATCTATATACTGACTGAAAGTAATGTATTAATTAGTACAATTCAAAACATTGCTGAAGGAGGAATCATTCCATGACTTTAATTTGAAAGTAGTTTCGTGGGTTCTTCCAGCTGCAGATAATCAGTGAGTCACCGTCACCAGAGGGAATGTTTAAACAGCTTCATGAGAAACTGGAGAGTAAATATTGGATGAAAGGGTGTGTGAAGGGAGAGTGCAAAACCAAGATGTTCAAGAAAAGAGCCCAGTGATCAGTTTTTCACACGTCATTTTATTCAATCACATGCTTATTTAGATTTCTAACATATCAGTGAATAAGCATTTAACGCAATATTATTATGTAACATTTCTTTTTTTTTTTTTTCATCCATGAGAAACGCTGTGCTTGTTCCTGGACAGCTCTCCATACTCCAGGCTCACAGTCAGTAAGGAAAACAAAAAGATGTGAAGTACAAAAAGCAAGTGCTGTACGTGCACAAATATAAATAACTTGTAGAACCAAGATGCTAGAGTCACTTTGGGAGATTCGTATTTTTGTGCAGAATTACTTCAGGTCAGGTTATTTGAGACAATTAGCTTGTTTGAAAAAAAAAAACCCTATTAATGATTCCCCTATGAGGCCAAAATACTGGTAAAACCAGAACTATCATACCAGGCTCAGGGCCTTATGAAGAATTATTTGAGTTCTGGAATAAATTTTACAGCAGCAAAGAATTCACAAAGATTTCTGAATTCTGAAAAATCTTTTTCCTCACGTGCAAAATTACTTTTAGAACTCATTTTGTTATTTCACATGGCACTAACCCATAACTGAAGTCTACAAAAATATCTTTGCAACAAAAAAGCTGTGCATGTTAGTCGCTGTCATATTCCTCTATGATCAGGTTCTCATCCATCAGAAGCACTTGGTTTGTAACAGGTTGTGGCTGGCTGTCTGGCAGAACTTCTTCAACTCCACAGTGGCTTTCTTCTTTTTCCTCCTCCTCACTGTCTCTCTCCAGCTTGCCAGGCTCTTTGTCTGTCAGAGTCTCCAGTTTTAATCTGCACAAACAACACAAAGTCCAAGAGAAAAATTAAGACAGAGTTCAAAGGTAAGGCTGAGTATATGCCACCACAGTCGGAAAACACCTGTGTGAAAGTAAATAGCAGATGTACATTATTAGGGCACTGCCTCATTGCGAAATTGCATTTCATGGCTTTCCTCAGCAAATGGAGTGGTATAGTTGTCATGGAGATGTTTTACATTTGATCAGGTGGCATCACTTTGTAATTTTAGTCACTCTTCTGTAAAAGTTGAAACAGTAATCTTACTTAAGCCCTTTTCTGACATTTGGTATAGACCATTGCAGGCTTCGTCAATCTGTTAAAGGGACGATATTCTAGTCATGCAGTCATAGGTCACTTTTCTGTTCATGTTCACCAAGCAATGTATAATGCAGAATAAAGAATGAACAGGAGAAACCTAAAGTAAATCAGCCTATCAAGATGTCTAAATAACTATCATCCCAGTATATTTTGTTTTTACCCACCAGTGGCAGCTTGGGGGTGCTGGGGCTTGAACCCATGATCTTCCAATCACAGGACACACAACTGATTGAACTGCCAACCACCTGAGCCACGGCCACCCCACTGCTCCCAGTAGAGCACACATGGAAAAACTGACATATTGCATCCTGGTGCAACATCAGTAGATTTAAACTTGTGCAAATGTGACTATTTTGTACAATTAAAAGTTTCTGTAAAATAACAGTTTCTTTACATACAAGAATCTGTACAATATCACTGTTTTTCAATTTATAGGTGTGTGTAGTATAGTTATTTTCCACATCCAGAAGAATCTGCGAAGCATTTCCAAATTATTGAAACATTTGTACAATAACAACATCAATTATATATATTTCTTGTATATTGTATATTTTCTACTGACATTCGTTACACATCTGCACCATCCCATTTGCTGCTGTAACACTGCAATGGTCACTGCTGTGGAATTAAAGCCTATCTTATAACTAATCTTATCTTATGAAAGTAGTTGTAACTGAAGTCGTAGCTGCTGGGTTAGAGTTAGGAGGTGCTTTTCACTTACATGCTTTCTATTGAAGAAGCCCAAACACAGACGGAAGCGCACACCTCAGGAACAATTCCATTAACAAGGTGCTACACCCCAATCCCAACCAGCTACCGTATCTGCATGTTTTTCTGTTTGATATGAGGAGCAATGCAGTTACATGTGCATTCCCTCATCGACCTGCACACGTAGAGGTGGAAAGCATGAATAGTCCACTTGGCTGCAAACTGAAAGGTCCCCGAAAATAAAATTTTACTGCATTAAAACAGAGACTAACTGCTCAGATTATTGATACTCACCAATAATAAACACAGTACATCTTTTTGGTAAAACATTAACAGGAGGTGCTGACAACACACTGAACTTCCTTGGAGTTCATTAAAACCTGCAGCATCAGACAGCAGGATCCATAGGAAAAAAAATCTTATAACTATAAATTCTCCCTGACATAGAGATGGGATCATCCTGATCTAGTAGCAGGTCACACAGTGCACTTTTCTTCACTTCAGACAAGTAAGCTGTCACAGCCTATCAGCTCCGGTTAAGTCGTTTGTTACAAAGCGGCCGTCTTTAGGGTGAGTCCTGAGCTTCATCACAGCTGTTGGGATAACTTTATTTTACCGTTTGTAAAGCAGAAGTTAAATTATCATCATACATAAACAGAATATTCAGTGTTTAGGAAAACATAAACCAGAGTTTTGTTTTGTAGTACCATGTGTGTTGTAGTGTCATGTATGTACTGTCCAATCTCACACGAATGACAAATATGGTGTGTATCACAGCTCTCTCAGTCACTGTGGCGGGTATGTCTGAACGAAGCTGTGAGAAAACTTAACACCAAAGTGACCTACGCCTGACTTTAATAGACTGACAAAGCTTCAATGTTACATATCCCGTGTCTGCAAAGTGCTTCTGTCTCAACAAATCTCTATGACAAAGGCGGAGTGCAAAGGTAGCATGGAACTTAGGGTCACAATAGCCACATTATTGAGAAATACGACAGATTAGAATATATAGTTATTCCGCTTTAATAAGAAGTATCCCAGGCAACCAAACCGAAGATACTGGCAGCAAAAGAGGTCAGAGGTCCTCAGCTAGGAGTCAGTGGATGACTGAAGAATGATCAAAGACGACATCCACATCTGACACCAGAAAACTAAGTAATTAGCCATTTCAAAAATTGAAGTCCTTTTATAAACCCATTAAAAGCAAAAACACAAAGTAAACCCTAATCTAAGCTTATCTTGTCAAAAACTTTCAGTACTGTTTTAGCAGTTGAAATCAAATGAACCTGGTCAAACTCAGCTACCTGTAACTTGCACAAGTTCTTTTATGACTCTGCACTTTTCGGCTTCATCATAGACGGGGATGACAGGGAGCACAGAGAACTGACCCTGAGCTCTGTGGACTGGTGCCAGCAGAACCACCACCAGATCAATGCTGGGAAAACCAAAGAACTCGTGATGGACTTTCAAACCCACTCAGTCAACACCAGTAAACATTCAGGGAATGGACAACTCTGTTAAAAAGGACAGAGCAAACTCTGAGGGAGTGCACCTGAGGTCCTTTTTTGACTCTGTGATGGCATTAGTCATCGTCTATGTAGTTTTGTGATGAGGAGCAGCACCGGTGAGGTGGTGGGAGACAGGAAGATGATAGTTAAGCTATCATTTGTGTTGGAGAACACGTCCCACCCTGTGCAGGAGACTTTGACAACACTGGGCAGCTACAATGACAGGTTGCTTCACCCGCCATGTGTGATGGAGAGATACTGCAGGTCCTTTCTTCCCGGTGCTGTTATAGTACAACCAGCACGGCTCCCGGTAGACAGAAAAACTGTCATACTTCTTTCGGTACAATACAGACACATTCTGTCAATGATGGATATTGTGCATTTTTTTTGAAAAACCCTGTGCAAAATCTACACTGAACAAAAATATAAACGCCCCATGTCAAATGTAAGAATTTTATGAACATTTGGGTTACGCAATATATAGAGAAACTCAAAATATATCTTCAGTAATTACTGATCTTTATATCGGCATTGATAACATCGTGGTATGGCCATCTGCAGCGGATTGACAGTCCTTTGAACATGACAGGGGTCAGGTTGAGGAATTTGATTTTTCAGTATCTTGTGTGTCCGCCAGCTGCGTCTCTCAGAGCAACACATCTTCTTCACATGGAGTAGATCAGATTGTCTATGGTGGCCTGTGGAATGTTATTCCATTCCTCCTGGAGTGCCACACGGAGCTGACCCACATTACCTGGAACTGGAACACGGTCCCGGACACGCCTATCCAGAACATCCCAAAGATGTTCTATTGGGGACATGTCTGGTGAATATGCAGGCCAGTCCAGAACTTCAATGTCCTCTGTTTGAAGGAATTGGGGTGAGAATCTCGTCCCGATATCTTTGTGCATTAAGGTTCCCTTCAATGAAGTGCAATGGTGTTCTATGTGATGCCTGACCACACCATAATGCCACCACCTCCATGGGCACCCTGGGCATAACATTTGCATCTGCAAACCGTTCACCCACGCGTAGCCAGACACACTGTCTTCCATCTGCACGATACAACTGGAACCTGGATTCATCCGTGAACATCACTCTTCTCCAGCGTGCCAAGGGCCATCGGACATGTGCATTCGCCCATGCGAGTCGGTTCCTACGGCGGACAGCAGTGAGATCCAGACCATGGTGAGGGCGCCGAGCATGCAAGCTGGCTTCTCGTAGGCAGTTACAGACAGTGTGAGGTGTGATGCGTCTGTTATGCAGACCAATAGTCTCATCAGCTGTGTGTGTCGCTGGTCTTAGCCAATCCCGCAGATGGACGAGCCGGATGTGGCGATCTTGTGCTGGAGTGGTCACACGTGGCTGACGAGGATGAGGTCGATTTGCAGTAGTGCCAGTCTGTTGGAAACGAACTCTTGAACAGCCTATGGTCCGATAATGGACATTGAGCCGTGCAGCTACTGCTCTGGTGGACATCCCTGCATCCAACATGCCAATGGCACGCTCCCGCATAACTTGCGACATCTGAGGCATCATGACTTGTGACAAAATTTGACATTTTGGGGTGGCCTTTCATTGTCCCCAGTCCAAGGATTGTCCAGCTGTTGCTCATTTTGTCTGATCACCCACTGGACATGCCCCACCCATGCACTGAGTAAAAAAAACAACTCACTGAGTAATGTTCACTGACAGCAAGTTGGATTAAAAATTATACACAAATCAAGAGAAATATTACTTTTGTACAATAAAATGTCAGCAAATGCTCATTTACAGTTGTTAACTCCACATGGCAACAATATTTGACATGGGGCGTTTATATTTTTGTTCAGTGTATTTTTACATTTACTACAATGTATGCTGTATCTGTATTTTTCTACTTAGGTGCAATCTGTGCAATATAGATAATAATCTGTGCAATATTATTGTTATACTAATACCCAGACTTCTCTCAGTAATTCTATTCAAGGAAGAATCTGTGCAATACCACTGACATGCATGTGTATTACTGTTATTTCTATAATCTAGTGCTTATGTATACTTTGGTTCATTTATTGATTCTGTACTACATTTCCTAAATGTTTGCACTATCTTTTGCTGGTGTAACACTACAATTTTCCCCACTGCAAGATTAATAAAGGCTTGTCTTATCTTATAACATTGTGTAATAATAACATCCACGATTTGATTCCAGCTTTGGTCCTTCACTACAGTACAGACTGGTACTGTTCAGGCCAGATGCATTGCAGTTCATAATGACTCCAAGACATTCTTGAGTCTAATGACAAGAAATGTAAACCATGTGTTGTACCTGCCAGGGAATCTCCTCAATACCATCTGACCCACATCCTGGATAAACGTTATCTGAGCTGAAAGACACAGTGAAGCACACAACACATCATGAAATATCATAAACCTTATCAACAGACACACTCGTCCCAACAAGTTTACAAAGCTCTGCTGATTATTAAGAAATGCCACAAAAGGATTTAATGGTCATAATTAGGAATGTCCCTTCTTGAGTGCAGTATTAAACAGTAACAGGCTCCACATGGTGGTGTAACCAGGTACTACAAGCAATCTACAATGCCTGAAGTATGTATTTTCTTGGAAGCTTTACAGTTACGAGGCTGATGTTCAACAGGGATCACACCATTTCCAAAATATTTTCAATCCTATCAGTAGTTTCAACTGCAGTACTATACAAGGGGATTTGTTCAGTATTATACACGCAGTGTGTCCGTGTGTGTGTTACCTTGACTACTCATAGGGTTGGTGAGCTTGGCCAGGTATGGCAGCAGTTCAGTCTGCAGGCTGATTGGTGTTAGGCAGAAGCTCCTGAACAGGGACTGGGCAGCCAGGCAGTTCTCCCGATGCTACCAAGAACAACATCAGTCTTATTAGACTCATCTGTGGTCGGTATATTAAAAATCTATTTCTACAGGCCACACACAAGAAAATGCTTTAGAATGAGATGATCCTTAATGCTGCCAAATTGTTTTAGTCATCCATAATAAACTTTCAAATTTGAGAAACATTCCATACATGTGAAGATCTGGCATTATGGCCCTTTTTCCTTCTTATAGTGTTTCACTGACACAGTTTAACATTTGTCACAGTTCTCCAGGTCTATTAGTTTGTTTTTCAGGTTTAAAACCTTGTAAATGGTGATCTGAAAACTGGGGCACATGTGTTAGGAATTAAAGTTCAGAAAAGCTGAAGGCTTGAATTTTGAAAGTGTGAATAAGTATTTTGAAATGTCTGTAAAAATACATTTTCACTTGTATTGCAGACAATTCTATCAACAAATACTAATAAGCATCCAGCATTACATACAAATAGAAATATGTACAAACATAAATAGAAATATATAAACATGTCCTATACCCTAAACTGCTTCTAAGACAAAGCATCAGCCCCTGAATGTCATACCTTCTTGTTGACCAGCCACCAGTTGGGTTTGTGCAGTGGTCTGAAACCAACATAAACTTGTTGGGAGTTTGAGTGAAGTAGCCCTCTGGTAGCCACTGAACACCCATAATTCCCCATGGTATCTCGACTCTGTAAACAACAGCACAACCCTTTATACAGATGACACAGCTTATAGTTCATCCAATCCACCATGGATTTGTTTATACTTAGGCAATGCAGTACTAAATAGATATATTCAAGGAGTGACCCTCTACTCTACCACATGCTACTCACATTTTGTCACTGTAGTCCCACCCACTACACAGGAAAAGCCCTTGCTTACCTCATGTTCTTATCTGGATTATTTTAGTGCAGTTCCATTTACAATCCAAATGACTGCTTACATTGGTAAACACACTTACTCTTTTTGTCTGCTCATAGCTTTAAAAGTCTCCTGCCATATCAATTATGAAAGCAATGCCTTCAATACAGTATGTTGACAACAAGAAAACTTCCCTTCAGAATCTACTTATCAAAGGATTGTAATTAGTTGTATTAGTTACGTAGTGACAGACTGACCATCCAATCAGAAGTGAGGAGGTCAGCATCAGACAGATACTCGCTGGCTCTGTGCACATCCTCCACCTCAGAGAAGAAGTCCAAGTAGTTCTGGTGGAGGTACAGGCTGAAGAACTCTCCAGACATGTGTGAACGCTCAACAACCAACTGAGCAAAAAGACAGAAAATCTGAGTGTTCGAAAACAGAGCTGTTTGTTGTCTATTTAAATAAAGTTTTTCTTGTTTGTTAGTTGTTTTTTTTTTTTTTTTAAAAAGCATGTTTATACCTCAGGGTCTACTAATAATGGTTCTCTGTAATGATGTGACAGGTGAGATGGTAGACCAGCTTCTGGGGCACCTTCTGATACTTCAGCATCTTCATAAATCCCTCCTGTTGAAGAAAAACAACCACCTGTTTGCCATTTGATCTATCAAAGCCACAATGCATCAGTCAGCCTGGGAACTAATCAGATGCTTGCTGAAGCACATCTGACTTGCAGGTTTATCACACTGGAAGTCATGCCTCTTGTGGCGCTCACTGTAGCCAAGGCAAAGGGGTCTGTTGACAATCATGCAAACATCACTATGTTCTATATCAGATTCCTCAATCTGTAATCTCATGACAGTTGATATTCCTAGACATCACTAAAACCTTAGAAGTTTTATCTTTATGGGTTAGATAAGGTCTTACAAAATGTCTAAAAGATTTGTTGGAGGCTATTTTCAGTGGAGAGATCGTGGCGAGAATCCACGCTGCACAAGAAGAACATGCAAACTCCACATAGAAAGATCTCAGGCATCCTAACTGGGATGCAAACCAGGTATCTTCTGGCTGTGAGGTGACGGTGCTAACTCATACAATGCTTACTAGTTGGAATTCAGCTTCAGACTGATTATTGCAGAGATCATACAGGAAACAAACCTATCAAAAAGATGTACTAGGTCAAACCTAGTAACACTTCTGTATCACTTTCAACTTGGCACACATCTGAACTGAACTAACACTAACAGACAGGCATGCACAAGCAGCGGTACTTGAAATTGTGTTAAGTGATTCAGGGAAGTGAAACCTATTAGGCTACAAAATAAAAATTCAATACAGTGAAAACAGACACTGACAGCTTAGAATGATACTCACCAATAATTAACGTAATCAGTTATTTTCCCCACAAGATGTAAACAGCAGCTTTACTCCAACTGTTTAGAACTATTCTCTAACACCTGCAGCATCAGACAGCAGTAGGATTCATGTACATGTCTCCAAAAAGAGAGAGAGTTGCACAAGTGGAACAAAAGCACTGGTAACTTAATTACATTTGAGAATTAATAATTATATATGAATAATTTGATGAGCTGCCATTAGTTTAGAATTAGTCTGTCCTTGCGCTACTATGCATTATACATCACTTGTACTATTTAATCTCATGGGAAGGACACGTATCGTATGCATATTGTGGGTCTCTCCTGCATTGTAGGGGAAATATCTGAATGAAGCCATGAGACACACTAATGGAACAGTACTTGAGGTTGAAATGACTAGAATGTGTCACTTTAATGGATTGCTGAAGCTAGCAATGTTCCATATCCCTAAAGAGATATCACTCACGTTTGCAGTGCAGGATCTTTCCCAGCGCTCTGAACAGGAACAGAGAAGCATCTTTCCCTCCAATGGCCTGCTCCTCTTCGTGCTCTTTTGGCTGTTTGGACTTTTTCTTCCTTTGGTTGGATCTGGAAACAACTCTGGCTTTCGACATAACAGGTCTGTCCTTCTTCGTCCTCCACAACCCCTGTTCCAGTAATGTGTCTGAAAAGTTACAATGATGAGCAAAGAGCAATTATTAAAATCTGAAGGGATTAATAGAAAATTAAAGGGTTTGCATGTGTACACTCCTAATTAACTCTGGGGTGCAATATTGTGGTGTGCAGATTTAGTCCTAACCTGCAAGGGAGGAAAACTGGAGGCTGTTGATGGCACTGCGAATATCTCCTGAGCTTCCTGAGCACAGCATTTCCAACAATGCCTGTTCTGGGACACGCATCCTTCCACAACTCTGCTTAGAAATATAATTAAATCTAAATCAGTTTTATTTATATAGTGCCAGTTCACAACATGTCATCTCACAGCATTTCACATAGTAAGGTGAAGACCTCACAAATTTTAAACAAAGAACAGAGAATTCAACAATCCAAAGCTGTCTTTAGAATGTCTATGAGCAAGCAGAATAGGAAGATATAATGTAGAAAAACAACATATTATTATTGGTAATCAGCTGCAAGGATTTCTCTCACCTTTTTTGCTTCCAAGGTTGAAATGCAAGTCAGGACCTTCAACATCGTTGTTGGAGCCACCGGATTAAAGCTGGAAGCAGATAATACACTTAACAATGTTCAGGACACAAATCAAGACACAAATAATATCGAATCATATCAACATGTAAAGACCACTACATTAAGTAGTAAAACAATTGCCTGTATTATAGTAAACAGGCTCCCATGTTAAAGTTAGTGTAATATACATTTCCAATAGCACTTATTCCATCAGTATAACAAGACTGCTCGTCACCACTCAGCAGAGTATAAGATGACTCTGTTTTTGCAGTAATAAAGAAATGTAGAAATGCGCATAATTCTGATTTGTTGTAGCCACAAGGGTGGAAGAGAAGCTGAGTTTACATTAGAGGTAAATTAAAATAAATCAGGCTGAGAGAAGATTGGCTTTAGGTCATCTTTAAACCTACGGGATCTGCATTTCAAAAAATGTAACCTCCGATGGAATTTATATGGTCCTGAAGCACTGTGGTGATTACAAAAAACATGAATTCAATTTTTGCTGTTATGCAACTACAAACCCATTACTAGAAACAAAAATCAAGCAAATAGTTTATTTTTAATAAAGGTAAAATCTGATAAGTCTAATGCAGCTGAACTACTGGTAGAGAGCATTGTATATATTCAACTTGAACTTGACCAATAATAAACTGTCTAATCACTACAACCAAGAATTACACTTCTTTGTGTGGTTACTGTGTGTTTACATGCATTTTCTCCAGCATTAATAATATGAACACCATCTGTAGCTCCTTGTTGTCACTGTCTCTTTGTGATATTATGTTTTTCTTGAGTTTAGGGACCTCAAACAAGTTCAGCTGTTTGATTTGCAGTGTGGATTTGAGTGCTGGTCAGTAGCGGGTTTAGTCCAGGGGCTGACTGTGTAATTAGCTGCTCTGTTAGTAAGTGTAGTGCTCGGATTGTAATGAAATCCACAGTGCTTAGTCAAAACCTGGGATGGAAATGCATCTAACAGGGGGTCTCTGGGATCATATCTCACAGCCAGCAGTGTGCATGGCTTTAACCTGATGCTGCTGATGTCCAGTTCCTCCTGGATCTCTTTAGGAAAAAGAAAGCGTGAGCTGCTGTCTCCACTCAGACTGTCTGACACTATGAAAACCAGGGGACAACGGCTGGTCTTCACAAAGCGCCTGCAAGAGACACAGCAGGACACAATCATATAGACAGCAGGGAAATGGACATGTGACATGGATTCTCTGGTACCTATTTAAGAATAGTACTGGATACTTGACAGAAACAAATATACCCAATGAAGAGTTTTCGCTATCAGCCAAAACATCAAAACCACTGAGAGATGAAGTGAGCAACAATGATCATCTCGTTAAACAATGTTGCAGACCAGCAGCGTCTTACAACAGGACAATGCGCCCAGCAACACTACATAACTGCTCAGGACCAACACAAGGAACATAACAAAGAGCTTGAGGTGTTGACCTATCCTCCAACCTCCCCAAATCCCAATCTGAGTTATCCATCTATGAGATGTGCCAGACGGGACCCAAACAATCCCCTGCCAAACTTCCCAGCACGAGACACCACATAACATAGAGCCAATGGGTCTGAACTGTTTTGGCAGCAAGAGGGGGACCTACACAATATTAGGCAGATGTTTTTTATGTTGTGGCTGATCCCTGTATATACATTCAGAGGGAACGACCACTCTGATCTGTAGAAAGGCTTTCATCAAGCCAACCAATTCCTAGTGCTAAGAATAAAACATGAACCTTGCTCAATGCCAGCAAGGCGGGTCCCAAAAATGCAAAGGTAAACCAGGAATGCTGATGCTGACATTTGTCATAATGTGTATGCATAATGTGTATGTTGTTACATTTACGTAAGGACTCTAAAGAGCTCTGTCATCATTGTAATGTCTCCAGGTTTACTGTACATAAGTATGAAAGCAAATGTAGGGCGAAACTGATTCAGTGCTTACCGGAGAATATCATGCAGGCTGCCAGGCTGCCTGTAAAACTGGTTTGGAAAATCCTGAGGAGGGAAAAGTGATCATCAAGTGTTAACTCAGGTGTGAATCCAAATAAACAAGATAGCGTTACACCAGTGTATTATTTTAGTAAAATTATCAGAAGTAGAGGTGAACACAAAATATCAGGCAAGAAAGACAACGTACATAGAAATATTCTTAACTGTCAGCAAAAATGTGCCTATATACAGCAGCGTGCAAAGGTCTTCAGAACTTTAGATGTTTTTAGTATTTATCCATCTTGTTATCCATCAGAAAGGCATCTGATTGATCCCAAATGTATTCTAAAGCATACAGCATTCCTAAACATGCAACCAGAGTCATAAAGACCTATAGTTGTTTGTAAAAGTCTAAGATCTATAACTTCCTATTGCTAGTAGATGGCTATGATTCAATACTAGCATGTACCAATCTTCAGCACAGAACCCTGATCAAACAAATGAAATGCAGACTTGGGCATTTAAGCATATAGTTTAACCCAAATTTGACTTGTTGACAAGAAGAAAATGAAGTAAAAGACGCATTCCTTTAGATATCATAGGGCCCTTGTAACACTTGGTGCTCAGTCCTAATAACTGACTTGGATAGTGTCAAGGTGTGAAGCAGGCAGTTTTCTTTGACCTTATCACAGAAATGACAAAATGCTTTAATAACTATTGGATATGTCAATCTAGACTGTTTAAGGATGTATTTCTTTTAATTAACACGTCATCAGCCTCTCCATATTAACAGGCTACGTACCGCAGGTTTTTAAGGTTACTATAATCAAAACATTCCTCAGCAAGTCTACTCTGGATCCAGTTGTTTTAGCCAACTATAGGCCCATATCCAATCTCCCTTTTATTTCTAAAAATCTTGAAAAAGTTGTTGCAAGCCAATTATGTGACCCCCTTCACAGGATTTAGAATGAATCATAGTACAGAGACAGCACTGGGCTGCCCACCCTCATCCCCACTCTCACCCAATCGGTAGAGACAGATGGCCGTTTCCCCATTACAGGGGTTTTGTTGGTTACTTCCCATCATTCCTGACTGCTTGCTCATGGACAGTCCAAAGACAACTTTGGATTGCTGGGTTCTCTGTTCTTTGTTAAAATTCTTAGTCTTGTTAAGTGTTATGAGATGACATATGTTGTGAATTGGTGCTGTATAAATATAATTGAATTAAATCGAATATGGTAAATACATTTTATTTAGAGTAGAGATCAATTTTGGTTTATTATTGCATGCACACATTTATTAAGATGTTTATTAATAAGAGGAAAAATAAGCAAATATGATTTCAGTTATCTTTCAAATGCACAGTTGATCATTATATGGATTTCAGATAATACTGCCAAGCCCCAAGCCAAATTATACTCTGAGACAAAAAAATGACAATAAAGTTGCACAATTTGCATCATGGCAATCTTCTGCAACTACTACACTGTGATAATAAATTGACTAAGAATGAAACATTAGGTAAACACAGGAAGAGCAGCATCAGTTAAAGACGTAGTACATACCTCCACCAATATGAGCTTCATGTCTGTAGTTCCTCCATCACCTGCCATCTTCAGGCAGTTGTATTTGTTGGCTCTAAGGAGAAACTCCTGAAACTGTGATAACTGGGAACTGCAGGAGAAGTTGCTCACCCTCAGTTCTGATAAAAGACAAATCAGAAAAAAACAAAGGTGGGGACGCCTGTATAGGTGAATGCATGGTAAAGGTGTAGGCACCGAGCTTATTATTCACACTGCAATTTCACCAAAACAAATATTCATCCTCATTTACATTGTACAGACAAAATACTGGAAACACGTTCTCTATATCTAGTTATCTGTGAACAGTTGATCACCAAAAAGAGAATTTTTATTTGTTATTGATAATAATCTCATGCTGATTCCATGTTTGATAGTGACACTGATAAGTAAAAGGCAGGTAGGACAGTAAGAGTGTCTTCTCACCACACTGACTGTTGCTGTATGGTTCTAGGTTTGTGGGGTTGGTCCATTCCTGAATTCTGAGGCCCAGCTCCAGAGACAAAACCTGGACTGTGGCAGTCTTTCCACACCCTGATGGTCCCGTCAGGAGCAAAATGCCACCCTGTGGATAATAAAAGGCAAAGTAAATTGGAACCGTCATCTTCACAAACAACATTAATTGATATCACCCCAGCTCAGTCTAGAATATAGCTATTTACATATCATGGTCTCTGGACAATAAGGTATTAATGACAGCAAAGCTCAGGTTTCCACTCGTCAAAGGAATTTGCTTGTCTGGTTTACCAGCTATGAAGTGAAGTGTTCTAATTATATCACTTAAAGAAAGAACAGAACTAGAGCAGAAATTACTCAAAGACAAAGCCAGGAGATAAATCTATCTCATAAATTTCAGTTACCTTTGATATGCTTGTGTGAACTTTGATCCAGGTCTCAACTTCCTCAATCTTCCTCTTGTGGACAGCTAGTTCAGCCTAGACAAACACACATACGGTAGTATCTAGGTTTGAACAATTTAGGGAAAAAAATCAGAATAATAAATAATAATGTTTAAATATTAGGGTTTTTGGCAGCTATTGTGATACGATTTGCATAATTTTTTTAAGCCAAGCTGTAGTTCAATATTCACTGCATCATACATTTAAACCATGTGATGAAGCATGACCACACAAGATACCATCAAAAGTTTTACTGTCAAATACAGTAAGAATTTGTAAAGCCATCGACACGACAGTTTAAAACCTGAATCTGATCCCAGCATAATATATGTCCTAAATTTGCTAATTGCAATGTTTTAAGTGGCGATTTTGAATCAAATCACTCTGCTCTTATAGCATCATTACCAAAAACTAGAAAGTTTAGGTTTGAGCCTTGATCACAGCTAAAAATACATGATGCAATCCATCAACTTCCAGAGATTCAAATAAAAAAAAATTAAAGAATTAGTTTGCACTGTTTGCAGTGGGCTATGTGAGGAACTCGAGGTACTTACAGATTTCTTCCTGCTAAAAAACAAAACAAAAAAGTCTAATTTCAGGCCTTGTAACAAAAAAATAACTGTACAACACTGTACCAAAAAAGGGAAAACTATGATGATATATATGGTAAAGCAAGAGAAACTTGTCAGAGATTTTGTCACATTATTTGTTACATAATTTTGATTTTATTACACCATGGTGTGCAATACTACAAATTATTCAGTAGAACTCCCCTTAATATGATATGATAGAAGATCTCAATCATGTTACAGGATATTGCCAAATGGTGTACCTATTGCACTGATGTGATAAAAAAGCAGTTGAGACACATCACTACATGTATAGCCTTTGTCCACACGTCCAGAAAGTGGCCAGAGCAGTTACTCACTGAATTCCAAAGTAGTCATCGATATCAGAAATATATGCGATGTATATGATGCTGACCTGTGAACAGGGTGAGTATCTGTCCACCCAGGGCTCATCCTGGCCCCTTTGGGCTGACTCTTTAAGCAGGTGACAGTTGCTGGTCTCTCCTTTCCTCTTCCTGGGCCTCTTCAGCTCAGCCTTGGAGCACAAAACCGGTCTGTCCTTTCTCCTTCCAGATAGAGAAATGCTTCCCTCTGGCAAATCAATGAACGACGGATCCACCCAGTGGTTTACCTAATATATATCCAGCCCAACAAAACTTATTATAGATCAAAAATAAGTTGAGGTTTAGAAATTACAGCCCAAACAGAAAACACAGAACAGGATGGTAAAAATGATTTGCAAAGGGAGGCAGAGGTCCCTGTGTGCTGAGTGAAGTGCTTGTACCTTAGCACTGGCAACTGACTCAAAAGCCCTTTATAGACAATGGACATGCAACATTGTTGCTTCATCAGCCTCTTAAAGTGACAACATTCTGTCATTCAGACCGAGGTCACTTTCATGCTAATGTTCCTTACAGCTTCATTCAGACATTCCCGCCAAGGGAACGGAGAGTGCCACAGTATGCACAAGATTTTTGTCATTCACAATAATAGCATAATGTGCCAAATACTAAATCTAAATTATTAGCAGCTTATAAAACTGTCCAATAAGCTCAGAAATAATAAAATAGACCTATGGCAGTAACTGAGTGTGTTTTCAGGGGCTGCAATGGAAGAGGGAATAACACTGGTTATAGCTGGTCTCCATCTGCTGCTGAACACTGAGCTGTGAGACTTCAGGAGCAGGGGACTCTAGCGACCTGGAGACTAGTGATGTGGAGACTAGTGACCTGGAGACTAGTGATGTGGAGACTAGTGACCTGGAGACTAGTGATGTGGAGACTAGTGACCTGTGACCTGGAGACTGTCTGGTGCTGTTCTAACATACTCACTCTGCGTGAAGCAGCTTTATCTCCTACAGGAAGCTCGTTCATCCTGGAGTTCGGTTTTTCACATCGGAGGTACAAACTGAACGAACTGGAAACCTAACAAGTAGTAGGAACAGTTGATACTGTTAGATGTAGGTCAAACCAGCCGGCGGAAAGCAGACACCATGTCCAGGTCTAAAGGATAAAGAAGGCGGGGAGTATTTCATCTTTCATATTGCATTATCTCTAGCTTCATTTTGCCTTTAACTGTGCTGCCCCCAAATGCCTAGAATATCGACACATTAACCAAATATCCTTAAAAATAAATCTGTGAAGTGTCAAATGGATTATCGAAGTCTTCCTAAAGCCCCACGGATATGTAAAAACAAAAAAAGTTGTTCCATTGAGTTCATATTTCAGTCCACGTCCCAACAAGTTTCTGTAAAGCGAGCGCCTCTAATAACTTTACCTTGTTTGACCATTTGATGTCAGAAACAGTCTTCGGTGTTTGATGTATGATGGAAACGTATTTATGAATCAAAGAGGGCAGTATGCTGGTGTTACAGCAGGTACGTAGAGCTACGAGGCAAAGCAAGCTGAAAAATATTTAAACTCCGGCAACCCGGGGTGCCGCTAAATGACTAATAACTGACGTAAAACCGTCGTGAAGCGTCATTTCACGGCAGTGTTCGTCGAAATTTTGCATTAGGCTTGATTGCAAACGTTTTAGCTAGCCACGCTACTCTTCAGTCTTGTCGGATTTCCAGGTTTGTGTCTTCACATCCGAACTGTCTTCACATTCATTGACATAATGTCTTGAGCCCGGCATGAACACAATAACAGGCTGCTGTGTTTCAGGTGGCCGTCATCGGGACACGTGCGAAGATGAGGAAGCGACCAAACATTCTGTTAACAGGTGATTTAAAACTCTGCTGCACTTTCCTACTGGATGCCTTCTGTAGTTTAGTTATTATGCCATTATTCTGAACGTGGTTGATCACAGACCGGAGTTGCACAAATTATTCAGTTTTGGACTACGAAGATCTTAAACTGTGGAATGTTGTTTAGTTCTGAACAGGAGAACAGTTTAAAGTTGCATCACTGATTTCAATCTTTAGATCGTGTGAGAATGTAACAGCTGAAATTGTAAATATTGAACATGAATAGTCAGTTGCATCGTTAGTTGTAGTTTATTTCTGTATACCTGAGCCTCGTTCAGTACTCCTAAAGCCTTGATTAAAGATCCAGTATTATAGCACTTTATGAGAAGTTAATGTAGCCTCACGTGTCCTAGGATGTGTGTTTCAGGTTTCTGCTCAAACTAGTGCACAGACTGTTCATTTTACCATGCTTATAAAGTCCCTTTCAGACATGCACTCGTTTCCGTTAATCTGACAGCAGCTGAATGTGGTCACTTTGACATAAAAAGCTGTGAGAGCAGTATGATCAGTCCGGAGCCGTCCAGAATGTTTGATAAAAACCTTTCCAAAATGCATAGTCCTGACAGTAAAGCTCGGAAGTGAAAGGGTGATGATGTGGGGCTTGATAAATGCAAAAGCTGTTGAAGACATGGCATTTGTAGATGATGCCATGAATACTTGTGAATATACCAAAACAAACGGCTGGCAAAATGACTCCCAGTCTACAGCAGTTTGGCAGAAAAAGAATATTCCAGCATGACAGCAATCCAAAGCACAATGCCAGAATTACACAAGAGTTTCTAAACAAGGAGCAATTTTAAACTATGACCTGGCCAAGTCTGTTGCCTGACTTGGATCCAATAAAACATCTTTTGGTGTTTTGAAGCAAAATGAAAAACAACACATCTCTTCCAGGCAAGAGAAGTTTAAAAAAAAATAAGAAGAGCTAAGCATTTCTCCAGAGACTTGTACAACACTGGTATCCTCCATGCTGAGGAGGACTGAGTCTGTCATCACAAATTAAGTATTGAAAGACCCCTCTATTGAAAATCCACTTTGGAGTGTTGGAGCAGTGTTGTGGTTTGGCTGGTGTGCTTCAGCTGCAGCGAATGAGGAGGGTTGGGTGGAGAGATATGTGCATCTGATTCAGAAAGTTAAGGTTTAGGGGTTTAATGAATGGCTGCAGAGTAATTTGAAAAAGAAAAGAATCTTGGTAATTCCAGCAGTGCAGATTTGTGTTGCATTGGGTTTCTACTGTCATATGGGTGTGTGTGGGTGTGTTTGGCCTGCATCTTTAGGTGAGTAGTGGGCAACATCCACATGAATGCCAGGAACACAAGTTTTCCCAGCAGAGCATTACATTGTAACAAGGCAATCAGTGGTTTGCACTGTACCTGTCGGTGGTTTTAATGTTTTAGCTTTTGGTTTATATATATATTTTCAGACAGAAAATTAAATTAAATTAAATTAAATTAAATTAAATTAGCAGTATGTTTGAAAAGCATATTCTCTTTTAAATCAGCAAGTAAGATAAAATACCGTACATGCTTGCCAGTTCTCCACTGTGAGGGCAGCTTTTATTACAAGACACATGAAAATGTCATCATGGTGCTCTGAGACACTGTAACAGACATTTGTCACTATTTTTGTAGACCAACCAGTTGATCGTCTTAATAATGGTAACAGTCAGCTTATGCAATTCATTAAAATTAATTCAATTCAAAAAACTGCATTTGTCCCCGAGGGGCAATTTAAGAAACAGAGAGCAGTTGGATCAACAAATGAATAATTTAAGGTGCAGGTGCAGGTCTGTGATGTGTAGCAAATGCAGTCCAGTGTGGGGAGGCAGGGATGGGAGTTGAAGAGCTGAACAGCTCTCGGAACAAAGGTTGCTCTCCTGCATCCAGGACAGCGACATCCTGAGGGCAGCCACTCAACCGCTGGAAACAGAGCGTGTGAGGGTTCCTGGACGATCCCGCTTGCTGTCTAATGAAATGGTGGCAATGAAAAAAGTTATACATGCAACAGATGTTTTATAAGCACCAACAGTACCTTTTACCCATATCTGGCATCGGAGGCATAGGCTGGAGCTAGTCCACAAACCCCTACCTCCTTCTGGGACAGCAGCTGAAATCATCTCTCAACAGCACAAGCCCTCTTGTGTCTTATCAATACAACATCCTAACTTCAAAGTCACTAATAATTCTCATCACCAGATAATGCATAATATGATGTCTGAATATGTACAGGAACCCCTGGTGTCGGAAAGACCACTCTGGGAAAGGAGCTGGCACAGCGGACAGGGCTGACCTATGTTAACATTGGAGACCTGGCCCAGGAAGGTAAAATCAGCTTTCACAACTAATATAAATGAAGGCTGCAACAACTGACTCTGAATGAGATTCCTAGAGGATGGGGCAGTTTTGCATCTTTGTGCTGAGTCACACAGTACAACTCTTATTGGCTCATCAGAGGCTGTCCTAATGATCCTGATAATCTGTTCCCAGGTCAACTTTATGATGGCTATGATGAAGAGTACCAATGCCCTATTTTGGATGAAGACAGGGTGAGTTTAAATTCCTTGCTAATCTGTAGCATGCAAAGATACATGAACATGAATTAACTCAGTATAAAAAAACAACTTAGTATTGCACTTCCTTATAGGTAAGGAACTCACAATAGAGAGACTGGAAAAAACACATAAAAAATTAGGCAACAAGACTCAGAATCAGTTCACCGTTAGTCCTTAATAAGTTCTTAAAACATTTTACATTTCCCCATTTTGCAAGACATGACACCATTTACCTAGACCCTCCCTATTCATAGAAAAATGACAGTCCAAGTACTTTTTATAAAATAATATATTATTCCTTCAGTCCTTCTGTGAGCTGAGTTGTTTTTGTAAAAATGTTGCAAACCAACACTACAGATTGAATTAGACTGAGTGCATGGCAAGTGCAAATATTGTGGCTTCTTGGAGTCCTGCAGGTGGTGGATGAGCTGGATGAGAAGATGGTAGAAGGTGGTCAAATTGTTGACTATCATGGCTGTGACCTGTTCCCTGAACGCTGGTTCCACATTGTCTTTGTCCTCCGTACTGACAACACCCAGCTGTACACTCGGCTAGAGAGCAGGTAACTCCCACTTCATTATTCATGATTACTGAACTCAATTTATGACTCTAGTTTGACCCTAAACGCAAAGACCACTGAGCTAATGCCAGTGTGTTTCTAGGTTTAGGTGTGTATCTTTGACCATCTAAACACAGTGGGAACGTCTAAATTCCACAGAAATCCTGCTGTGTCTCTGCCCACTGTACTGGGCAGCCCTCAGGAATAATCACATTGGTGCAGCCCACTCTGTAACTAGCTGCTGTATTCTGTAAAAAGTGCAAAGCCACAGGCAGCCTTTTGGAATTATCTATGGTAGGGTACTGTGTTTTGTTGTGTTTCATTTAGGGTGACCATTTGTGTAGCAGACCGACATCTACCTTACAGTGTGTATATTGTAGGATGAACAAAATCTCATCCTCAGATCTGCATCAATCAGCACACAGGGATGCAGATACTATGAACTGGCCCTGATCAGCTTAGTGGCATATGCATCTATCAGCTATCCTGTTTACTGTTATTAAACCGTTTTAATGGTATATATTATATTATTATTTTTCACTTAAAAATCAAAGTCTCATGTTTATGGTTGGTGCCACCCCAACATTTTGAAATGAAATTTTAAAATGCTGTTTATTTTATTTTTGCATTTATTCACATAGAACACATTTTTTAATAGTTTTCTTTGTTCATTTGCACTGATGCTTGTGCAGCCTAATATTTTGTGAGTTTTTTAGAACATTAATTTTTTTGAAAGGATATATAATATTGTAATGTACTGAAAATGGATTCAAATAAATAGGTTTCTTAGCATAAAGTGATACATGTCATGAGTTGATGGAATTATTGGAATTAATGCACCCACCCAGACACAGAAATATCAATGTTGTGTTTCTGAGTCGTCCACTTGTCACTGCTGGGTTATTGTAGCAGTGTCTAACCTGTAGTTCGGTCTGTCTAGCCACTCACACTGCCTACTCTATCACTCTTATCTTACCCAGATGATAAGTTTACTCATCAGTTTGCTTCACTGTATTAGGAAGATGTCATCCTCATGAGTAAGGTTGTTCCTGTTTTCTGTATGCCTGTCAGGGGTTACACAGGAAAGAAGCTGCAGGACAATGTGCAGTGTGAGATCTTCCAGACCATCTACGAGGAGGCCGTAGAGGCCTACAATGAGGAGATTGTTCATCAACTACCCAGCAACACGCCGGACGACCTGGAACGCAACCTGGAACAGATAGTACAGTGGACTGAGCAGTGGATGAAGGACCATAACTAGGAGCCAAACTCTGCCAGGTCAACAAATGTTATGGACAATTAAACCTGAATTCTATTTTTGAATCTTCACTTAGCTGCCATAAACACTGATATGTTCAAAATATAATCACTTTCTTCAGTGACCTACCATTACTTGCAGGGATGGCTGCTGGACCAACCCACTCTCTCAAATGGTTGAACTTTAAAGTAGCTGAAAGTAAGAAACACTGCTACTGCTTGATTCTAATAATCCATTACATGATATTTAATTAGTGAAAAGTATTGTCAAAACCAAATATGAGTCACAATCTGGCTTCCCAGAGTTTAATAAATGTGACTGACTGTGATACTGGCATTTACAATGCTCAGCTCAGTCCATGTAGATAAAGTCATTGATGTCAGCATGGGTAAATCTGAAAACAGATCACCTTATTTTACTCTTAAGCAAATTTTTGGTCACACACTTCTTTGGTTTGTTGCGCTACAGTAACTGAGTGAAGAGTAGAGGCTTTTGTGGGCACAGCCACACAGCTAGCCTTTTTGTGAGGTGTTTATTAAACAAGGCAAAGTTGTAGTGCCTATCAATAAGCAGATGTTTAGCAAGTGAGGCATTTTGGATGCAGTTATATTTTATTCTGCCTCCAGGAGATGCTCTGAATTTAGGTAAAGATTAAGTCTCGATTCAGTGCTGATGTGGACATTACCAGATATATAGCACAACATGGAGGTGAAAGCAGTGCTCTGTTTATTTAGATATGTGTGCACAAAAGGCTAGAGTAAGGGTAAGCCTCTGAGAAGAAACTTCTTCCTGCTGCTTTGCCCTGCACTGTTTCACTTGTAACAAATTATCACGATCTTATTATTGATTTTTTTTTTTTTTTTTTTTTTAATTGTCGTGATTGTTGTATTATTAGTTGTGCAGCCCTAATTCAAATCATTTTTCAAAAATTAATGACAAATGGGAAACAGGTTTCTCATCTTTCTCCTAGTGGTGTTTATGCAGCAAAGCTACATATCAAACCTCCCTAACAAACAAACACGTGTGATGTGATCCCATTTTTTGTTGTAATTCAAAGCCAAGCAGCTGATGTTTGAGTTCTCCTTTCTGAGGCAGTTTGCTTGAAGCAGCTTTAAAGAAAGTTGCGCCAAAGAAAATGTTACACAGTAAATCCACGAATAACTATTTTGGTTATCTTTAAAATGAAGGATCTTTCAAGACTTTGCAGGTTTTCTGATGATAATGGAGGCAGCTAAAGAGCTAGTTATAGTTGTGATTAAAATTACAGTTGGAGTTGAATCTCATTCTGTGATTTTTAGCTTGTCTCTATTCAGAAATATGCGGAGTACCAATAATAGGAGCTGACACCCATGCCTGAGCATGCCAGACATCTCTAAATTCCAAACATCCCATATAAGATTTTTATTTTTTTATTTAAACAAAGTTTTCCTTTGAGAGCTCTGTTTTTTTTTTTTGGACTGACCACCCATCTCTGACAGTATTGGTGAATAATGTTTCACGTTGTTTTGGGGGTTTTTTTGCTTTCTTTTGTACCATATTGTCAAAATATCTTGGATGGTGTAACCACAAACATTACAGCATGTATTGTGGACTTTTTTGTTCAGTTTGTTGTTGCTCGTATTTTTGCCTTGTCATTAAAGTTTGGGCACTCGACTGAAAATAAAGATTGTATTAACATTTCTGACAAAACTGTAGGCTTAAAGTACATAACATAATGCCATGTCACCAGCTGTGATATTATATCAGTATAGCAGATGCTCCAGGTTCTGGATTGTGTGCAGTCAGTCTTTCAGGTGTCTATGACACGAGAAAGTGGGACGACACCTGTACACGCAAAACCCACTGTCTTACTGAGCTCAGCATTCAGTGAGGCTGTTTTCATTGAAATGAATGCTTAGATATCGCTTCTCACAGAAAAGGGTGTTGGTAAATGTCACAGTAAGATGGAGGTGGGAATGAATGTTTTAACATATTTATGTATCATTCACTGTAGTTACGATTTTCATAACCATTTCTACAAAAAGACCACATGTGGATAACGTTACAGTTCCTCTATGTTATCCTGAAACACTTTGACATTATGAACACAGGGATTTGCTACTTTTTTTGTAAAAGTTACAGATGAGTGACACATTAATAGAAGAACCTGAATAAAATGCAAAATAGTGAATGTAGATGTGTCCTCACGGGTGTACAGCATGGTGCCAACTAAGCAATTAACATCCAATCATGCTCTGTGGCATGTAGAAAAATTGCTGAACAGGTGCAATTTATTCAGAATTTGTATAGGAAGATAGAGGAGAAGATCTTAATGACTCTGAAAGAGGGTTCATTGTTGAAGCACAAATTGCTCCTTCTGGTACAATATTCTTTATAATATACTGAGTATGTGTGATGAACCATTATTTTCTCATTTAAAGTGTGTGCATGTCTGAGTTTAGAGAGAAGAATATTTGTGAAGTTTGTGCTTCTGTGGGTGATGCAGCCCAAGTTCATAATCTGTTAGAATTTTAAAACTCCTGTCATGTAAGCCCTGCTTTAAGTGACACCTGCATTAGATCTTTGAGAAAGACACCAGTAAATAGGGTTGGTAATTGCAGTCAACAGTGCACATTTGATGACCATGATATTCATGCATTGGTACAATATGTAAAGGAAGTACAGAAGATCAACTCTTCCTCAGGTGTTGCAATATGTAAACCTCCTGCAACAAAGGTGAGTGCACATTTGAGAGTCCAGTGGTGTAAAACCCTGAGGCATTGTTTCACAGATGTGGAAAAAAGTGACACTTTCTCTATATTCTCAGAAAGTGTGGTGTATACCAAGATCTGAACGCCTGACCCATACAATGAGGGGATTTGGGGGCTATGTTGTGTTTTGGAGATCATTTTTCCACTATGGTTTGGGTCCACTTGTCCCAGGAAAGAATAACTACAAATCAACACAGTGTTGTTCTGAGGGGTTACCTCTATCCTCTGATGAAACATTTCTTTCCTGATCACTTCCAGGATGGCAGTGTCCCTATCCATGGGACACACAGGATCCCTCAGTGGTTTGATAAGCATGATGACTGTGGGAATCTTTTGCTAAGATCTTCACAGTCACCAGTTCTCAACCCTGGTAAACGCTGATGGCAGATTTTGGACCAACATGTTACACAGCACTCTCATCAATATCAAATCACCACATGCTGGAATATCTTTTGGAGGAATGGTGTTTCATCCCTCCAGTAGGGTTCAGAGACTTAGAAACAAATATCAAGGAGCACTGAAGCTGTTCTGGTGGCATGAAGTGGATAAACACCTTACAAGGATACTTTATGGATGTTTTGCCTTTAATTTGTCACCAGTCTGTATACCTTCCATCGCCCTATGCTTTTCTGCATTGAAAAAGTTTTATCAAACTTACATTATTCACTACAAAATGGCATGTTTCATTTGTATGTTACTAAGACTTTTTTTTAGCTGCCTTGACATTTAGGATTACTGGAACTCATTTTGGCTGTGCTCATTAATAAGATTACCAAGAGCGATATAATTACTTTGATATACATAATGATATATATTCATATGTGCAAGAGGTAATTGTGGTGTAACATGCATATGTCATTATCAGGTGAAATAATATTAGAATCATCTGCTGTGGTCTCTGGATCTCAACCAAGACAGTTTCAAAGGTTAGAAAGAGGCGAAACACAGGGACAACTTTGGAGGCAGATATATTTATTTAATACAATCTACACACACACACAAGAAAGGAAATGAGTCTTATGACTCCCATCACTAAATCGCTGATCTCACTAGCTCCTGAGAGAGACACAGAGGGACAGACATTCAATGCTCAAGTAGCTATAGCACTGATATATCTGATAAACTGGACATAGTTCACTTTTTTGCTGTGGCGAAATATATTTTATTTTTTTACAGTTTTACAAAGTTGAGCAACAGAACAGGCAGTGGTAATGTTGGCAGCATCTGGTGTTTGACATTGGGAAGGATCTCCCTTGTTTGGTTGTTATTTGCACCATCAAAAAAGAGAGGACAGTAAAATGAACCTTTATTAGATCACTGTGCAAACATAAATAAACCTAAATTAAAGCCAATCCTAGGACATACTAAATGTCTCAACGTTACAAAACAATGTCACAATGAAAAGACTAACTATGAAAACACACACTGTGGAGGAAAATGTAGTTTCACTGTTGAACCTTTCTACAGCAGACACTTGGACTCGTCACAGGAGGAACAACTGATGACTGAGCTCCATGAGGTTCTCAGTAAACTGTGACAGAACCAGCAGCTCTGAGAGGAATCCAGTATTAACAACTCTGGTTTAAACTGGGACCAGTTCACATAACTGCAGCTTTATTAACATCATTAAAAATGTAAAACAGTGAGTATTGAGCGTTCACACTGAAGGTTATAGATGCTTATTGTAGACAGACAGAGATCATTTCAACAGGCTTCTATCATCTGATGGAGTTTTATTATGCTGTCTATAGTTAATTATCATCATCTCTGAGCTGAGCTGCCAAAATCGTGCTATGACTCAGTGAAACAAATCAGCAAACAAGCTAAGAGTTGGTTTTACAGGAGCTGTATTTAGATGAAACCTGTTTGCAGTGTTTAATGACGAGTTCAATAGTCTGTTTCTCACTTTAGGAGGTTAACAGCAGCTTTGCTGCACAAATGAAGACATCAGAAATGTTTACAGCATTAAATAATAAGACGATTCACGATCAGTATGACGTTGTAACCGTCAACGATTATGGAGAGAAATGCTTCTACTTCCTCTGGCTCACCACGGTCCGAGAAGTGCAGCCTCCGCCTCTGCAGACACAAGCGGCTCATGTTTCCTGCCATGTGGCTCCAGCAGGGGGCGCCGTGCTCCAGCGCAGTCTGCTCCGAGCTCAGCAGTGCTAGTCGGAAGTACAGCGGACGTCCACCGGCTGTGGGCTCCGGCACATATGGACCGGCGCGTGTGATACCATGGGTAAGCTCAAGTTCGATTTAAAACTGTCAAGTAGGATTGCGTTGGTAAACTATGTGGCTCCAGGACGAAGCTGCTGCGGTGTTAGTGGGTCACAGAGAAGCACAGAAGCGGTGAATAAGTGTCGTCCTGAAGTCTGTCAGTGTCGGTAGAATGTGAGGAGAGGAGACGGTGAGCGGCGCCGGTCCGCCCGCTGCTCAGAGACGGTCCGACCACGGATGGGACTGGGCAAGATACAGCACTTAAGACTTACCATGGAAGAGTGTGAGTGTGTGTGTGTGTGTGTGTGTGTGTGTGTGTGTACATACGTAGGTATGTACAGCAGTCACTACTTATCCACCGCCGTGACCCTGTTTTCCAGTTCAGACTAGTTTGTGCAGGGTTAATTAAAGGGTTAACTGTAAAACTGAAAAGTATTCTAAAATCGACAAAAAGTCATGACTCTCGTAAGTGACATGCATTAGTGTTATTCATTTGTGGGATATTTTCGTTTTTTTCTGGATTCACCGCACAGAGCATGTCGAGCACACAGCTGGTGTATTACAGCCAGATTGAGGAACTAAGGGATGAGGCAACTTTGGACCGTTGGGTTTAAATGTGTACAGTCTATACCTTACTATGTTAAGCAATGTGAGATGACGTGTTGTAAATCAAGTCAGCACTTTCGCCTGATAAGTTGCTTATTAGTTAGTCACTAAAACATTGCCATGTAATGTTACGTTTCTATGGGAGCTGTTTGCTTGCTGCTAAGAATAGGAGGTATGTCCCGTCCACACTAAGACGGCCTTTCCCACCTAAAAATAGTCTCTAGGTAGGCGTTTACCATCATTCACTCACTGTGTGTTAAGCTTAATGTGATTCATAAACATACGAGGTGTGTCAGAAAAGTTCCAGGACTGCTGTCACGAAAGATCTATAATAAACCCAAACAACGATCCTGCGGCGTTTGCTTGGTTCAGTGCACGAGAGGAGGCGAGAGTCGTGTCTGCTTCACCGTGACAAGGTGGGAAAGGCTGGCTTAGTGTGGACGGGAGATGAAACTGGATGTGTTTTAAGATGGTCTGGCAACAGTGTTAGCTTACTGTTTGATTTCTAGGTGGTTCATGTATTTATCCAGGACTAATAACCACCTAAGTCAAATACCTGCAGGCTCAGCTTGGCTTTATGGTCATAAGGCTTTATGGACCTGCCTGCCTGGGTTGGAGCCTTTCAATTTCCATTTGAACCCAGACCGTGAGCTGGGACCCCTACCATGTCTATTTAACTTTGAGTGCTCTTAAAAAATGTTCTCATGCACTTCATGCATTAGAGCCCTAAGTCGGCTGGGATAGGCTCCAGCCCCCCCGCGACCCTAGTGAGGATTAAGCGGTGTATAGATAATGGATGGAAGGTTCCGTTATCATTCATGTGGTAGTGTGGAGTGACAGAAAAATGTGCAAGTAAGAAAGACATGAAATGAGTCAGCTGCAGCTCTAAATTATCCAACTTAGAAACACATCTTGGTAAAAAAAAAAAAAGAGCAAGATATTTCACTGTGGCAAAGATATTGATGATTGAATGTGTGTTGCACTGGCTGCTGCTGTTTCCTGACAAAAGCATCAGGAGCAATTTGAGCTTTAGCTTCTTGCTCAAGGACGCTTTGGCCTGTTGACAGGAAGAGCCAGGGATCAGACCATCCAGACTTATGACAGGACAACCTGATCAACATTGTGAGTGCTAGTCACCCTAATGATGAGTGTTAATCTGTCTCCTGTTTGTCCACCGCAGAGACCAGCAATAATGCCACAGCTCAGAGTGATGCTGGTGGTCACAGGAGATGATTTCGGCTACTGTCCCAGGAGAAACCAGGGGATTGTGGATTGCTTCCAGGCTGGAGGCATTTCCAATGTGTCACTGCTGGTTAATGCCTTTGCTGCCAAAGAGGCAGCAGATCTTGCTAAAAGGTAGCGTGGTCTTACACTGTATACACGTAAAACATGTTTCAAATCTACTAAAAACAGCTAGTGGGGATGTGCCTGGCTCTGTTTCCATTTGTTGTTCTTTGGTGTATTTTTATTGCTCCCTCACAAAGCTGGCAACATCTATCGCTTGATGTGACACAGACACCTCCAGCTCAGCTCTAACAAAATTTGAGAGCAGTTTATATTTTAGCCATCTAAGACATAAACAGTAGACATTTTGTAAGACTGTTAAATTTAACAAATGTAAGAAATGCCAAAGTATTCAAAATCAGTACATGACAATCAAATAGCCACAAAGAAAGGGCTTTTTTTTTTTTTTTAAACCAAGATCTTTGCTCTGTTTTTCCATTTACAGTGGTAACCTGACTGATAGGTATAGAAATGAGAAACTGAACATCTGTGCGTGCTCAGTGAAGCACAGTTAGTTACTTATTCATGCAGCTATCAGTGATGTTGCCCTGTGCACAGTCCAGCATTTAATAAAGTCAGACTCTGAATGTTTGAACAGTCCCTATGTGTCAAAAGGCTACAATTGTCACACAGTATATTGAGGTAAACATTAAAGTTGAGACTGGGCACTTAATACTAATGTAGCGTCCACTGTTTTATTTGCAATTATTGCATTTAAATTCTCCGAATCACAGAGCCTGAAGAACAAAACATATCCAGAGACTGGACAGTAAATACACATTCTAAATGTGTTGGACAGTGATGCTTGAGAGAGTTTGAAAACTCCTGAGAATTTTCTATATTTCTGCCTAAATGTGACCAAAATCATTATCCAATTTCCACATGAGTCTTTAAAGTAGATAAGGATCACCTAATAAAAGATATACAACATAAATGTTATACTTAGTAGTTTATCTATTGTGGAAAATGATTCAGTATTATATACAGTGATGTATAAAAGTATTTGCCCCCCCTACAGATATCTTCTATTTTTGCATGTTTGTCACAGTTAAATGTTTTACATCATCAAACAAATTTTAGTATAAGCCAAATATATCCCAAGAATATATTCTTGGGATATATTTGGCTTATACTTTATACTATACTTTTGTATAGATACAAAATGCAGTAAGGCTTAATATGACAAATAAATGATGATTTCATTTATTGAAGGAAAAATGCTGTCCAGCCCCACCTTGCTTTATGTGACAAAGTAATGCCCCCTCAGCTACCAGTCTACCAAATGACTGAACTCATCCGTCAGTTGGGTTCAGTTTCACCAGCCACATCCACATATGATTACTGCCAGGCTTGCTGAATCTAAACATCACCTAAGTAGAACCTGTCTGGCATTGTGAAGTAGCTAAAGGGTCTCATAAAGCAGCACAGCATGCCACGATTCAAGAACAGCTGTGAAACAACGTCATTGACATTTAAAAGTCTGGAGAGCTACAAAGCCATTACTAAGGCTCTGGGGGAGGGGATTATAATTGGTTTTCAGTCAATTTTCAATTCATCATCATTTGAAAACTGCATTTATTGATATACAGTAATTCTACACTGTTGCTTCCTTTTCAATATGCAAATCTACTGAGTCCCCACCTCTAGCTTCACCTCTCTCTGTCTACTCACAGCACTTCGAGCACACCACTTAATCTACAACTCAGCGCTATGCTACACAGTTATGAGCTGCAGTATTGGAGGAATTCAGCAGGACATTTTTGAACTCGAAATCGATTCTAAAGAAGAATAATGATACAGAAAGCCCCAACCTGCAAGCTGACAGAATTGATTCCTTAGCTTTGTTGTAACTGACTGCTTCTCCCACTCATGATATGTCCTGTACCATATAAAAACCCTATACAGACATGTTGACAAGGTTGACATTTAATGTCAGTTTTATGTGTGCTAAACATTTTACATTCATTTACAATCAAAAGGCAAGTACCTTTAATGGAAATTATTTTGTCTGTTACATATCTTTGTTATTAAAGTACAAAACATTTTTGGCTTGCATTATGTGATGTGACAGAAGTTTTGTTTTGCTTTTTTTCATCAGACACAGCATCCCCATTGGCCTCCATGCCAACCTGTCGGAGGGCATTCCAGTGTGTCAGAGCCTCCAGCAGGCCTCCACGCTCATAAACCAGCATGGCTTCTTTCTGGGGAAGATAGGCTTTCGGCAGGCCTTGGAAAGAGGCCAGCTCAGCATGGAACAGGTACAACAAATTATTACACATCTGAAATCATATAGTCATCTGGTATGCAGCAGTGAGGTTAGTTTAGCTCTTTTTATTGCATACTTCCACCATGGCATACAACGACAAAGAAAAACATCAGTAAAGAATGATCAGAGATACAGAAACAATAAATACGAGTAAGGAAAATAAATAATTAGACCCACATACAGTCATCCTCAAATGTATTCATAGCCTCCCATTAAAGAAGGAAAAAACAGCTGTCACTAAAATAAGTTGAAATTGACAAATAAAAATTTAATGAAAATCACATCATTGCTTTTGAATTGTGTACAACAGAAATATTAAAAAACAGCAGCAAATTTGAGGACAACTGTATCTTATGAGCAAAAAATCTAATCTAAATTATAGAAGAAGAAAAGCTGTGTTCCTAGCTACCACATCAGAAATAAAAGACAGAGTTAGTGGCTGATACAATTGAGGGCTGGTGCAGCTCACAGCTGTATGAACACCACATACCACACATGGCTTTAGATTTTATGACAGTAGAGCTCATCAACTGGTTGTCAACACCATGTAGTCTAGTTTTAAAGAGTTTGTATAATAGATACAGTCAAGCTCAAGTCTACGGATTGGTTCAGTGGGTTTACTTTCAATAAGGAAGTTATTGACAATGTAGCGTTCAACTGTTTGAATGCATCATTAGAAAGGTGGGTGAAATACAAATAAGCATTTGGAGACACAGTGCTTCAGCCTATGCTGTTACCAAAAGATGTTGCTGCACTTGCATTTACAATGACAGAAAATGAAATCGTCGTACTTTACCGCCGAATCTGCATAAACACACACGGAACCCAGTAGAGCCCTCTACCATCATTTTACACAGAGCTTGTATCAAGCAGATGAAGAACCGGGTCACTCATCAGGTAGACGAGCTGCCTTTGTCCAAAGTTTGCATCACTGGTAGCCCTATGTCTGGTCTGGTAGTTGATTGTATGTTAATCTGTGCCTTCATTACAGTCATGGCAATAACGGTTACTTACCTTTCTGTTCAGAAATACACATACAAAGCATATTCAATGATGATGGCAGTCAGTCAGCAGATGTTTCCAAATGTAGCCACTGTTTTACTGCATAGAAAATGCAAACAGTGACAACCTGAAAAGACCCCTGTCTTGAAAAGCATAGCTTGTTAACATATGATGTTTTTATATGCTAGAAGACGAATGAGTAGAACGAGTATTGGTTGAGTATTTCCACCTTGAATCTGCAGTGTTCCAATAATGTACAAATGCCCATGAATAAGCATTGAAGCTAACTTCTTGCTATTCCTCGGCCTAATTATAGCAGAACAATCAACCAGAAGAAGCTGCATTGGCATACTCAAAATTTCTTCAGAAATTTCAGTTTTTATTATAGATTCTTCTGACAAAATTTTCAGCACCTAACTCTCCTGCAGCTTTGAGAAAGCCTATTCAAATTTTATGTCAAAATGTATGGCTCGATCAGGAATGGCGTGCTATGACTTCTGTTAGCAATGTGTCCGTTTAGACAGGTCACAAGGCTTTAAATGTTATTCCTCTAAATCCGTGTTGTTTACAGCACAGAGTGTGCCAACCAAGACTCTCATTGAATCACATTATATCAGAGCTCCAAAATTTTGGGTGAAAATCAGAAATGGAGTCCCTTTAACCTGCCACCAAATCTGTATAATATACAGTGCGTACATGAAAATACATCAGCTTGGTCAGACCAAGATTGTGTTTCACGCTCTAAAATATTTTTTTAATACGACTTATAGTTTTTGAGCAGCATCTGTTTGTTCAAGGATCTAATCCTTAGTCTGCCTGTCTGCACCTCTCTGCTCTGCTCACTGCAGCAGCCAGTGACTCACAGGCGATTGGCTGATTGATACTTTTAAAGTAAAAGCTCAGAGATGTTAAAAGGAACTGATCAGGGTTTGAAAAACATGCTGGCCTTTCAAAATAAAATGCATATTATATCAATTTTACCTTCCCTATTATTATAGCAGGACATATTAACTGGCAAAAGATGCATTGGCGCACTCAGAAATTTCTACAGAAATGGTGAAGTTATTTTTGGAATTAGTTTTAGGTTCGAACATTGTGTGATGTAGAGTATTTAAGAAGAGATCAGAAACAGAATCAGAAAGCTTTTACTGGCAAATAGGTTTTCACATACAAGGAATCTAACTTGGTGTTTTCGTGTATAACAGTAAACGGTATCATATAAAAAAGAGTTGCCAGTAAGTAGCAGCAAGTGTTACAAGACAAACAAGAAGCAGTGTTAGAAGTCAAAGTAGCAGCAAGTGTAATCAAGAGATTTTGAGTCATAAAAAGTAATAGAAATACTTCCAGTGTGCAAAAATGTGCAAATTAATCGCCTAAGAACATGTCCATATATAATGTAAACAACTGGAAATGTGCAAAAGGATAATAATGATCCTACTTAAAAGCTCTGCGTTAAGTTACCACATAGAGTCAGCATTAATGGTGGGGGGAGGGAGGGAGGGAGTGTTACTGGGGCTCTCTGATGGATTACAACCCTCTAACAAAGGGGAGGGACTCGAACGATTTGTGTCCAGGGTGGGAGGGGTCGACCATAATCTTTCCAGAACAAAACACTTTAGGGTCAGATTACAGCCAGTCACCTTTTCGGCTGAGCAGATGATATGCTGAAGTCTGGCCTTGTCCTTGGCGTTGGGAAGGGTGAGGATGAACTCAGTGATGGAGGTGTAGGAGTGCACCATCAATGTTTTTAGCAGGCTGAACTTCCTCAGCTGCCGCAGGAAGTTCATCCTCTGCTGAACCTTCTTGATGAGAGAGCTGATGTTCAGCTCCCACTTGAGGTCCTTGGTGATGATGGTGTCCAGCGCTCCACTGTGTTCACTGGGGAATCACACAGGGTGATGGGGGTGGGTGGGGCTGAGTCCTTCCTGAAGCCGACGGTCATCTCCACTGTCTTAAGAGCGTTGAGCTCCAAACTGTTGTGCATGCACCTGGCCACCAGATGGTCAACTCATAGCTGTAAGCAGACTCATCCCGAACAGAGATGAGTCTAATGAGGGTGGTATTATCTGTGAACTTCAGGAGTTGGACAGACGGGTGACTGGAGGTGCAGCTGTGGTGTACAGGGAAAAGAGCAGAGGTGAAAGGACGTGGTCTTGTGGTGATCTTGTGTCGATGGTCCGGGAGTCAGAAAAATGTTTCCCCAGCTTAACCTGCTACTTCCTGTCAGACAGAAAGTCAGAGATCCACCTGCAGGTGGAGTCAGGCATGTGTAGAGATGCTTGAGCTTGAGCTGCACCAAGTGGGGAGGAGTGAATGGAGAGAGTTGAGGATTTCATAGATCTGCACATTCTAAAGGAGCTAATGTTGTAGAGTTGTGTCTACTTTTAAAGGATTAACAGACTATTTCCATCGGGAAAAAAACTACTTATTATGTATCTTTGATACACAGACTGAGTTATAGGATGTTTAATCAATTAGTAAGGAGAACATATGAATATCTGCCAGCTAAATTGTCACCAAACAGTTTCTTCACCAATATGTTTGTAAAGGTGTGTAATAGCATGTTTTAAAATGTTGAAGTTCAACTCTCGTGGGAAACCCTGAAAAAACCTGCTCAAGTTAGGGTGCCGATAAATGATTGTCAAAAAATCTATTTAAAAAAAAAATCGGGCCTTAAGTAACTTATGAGGGGTCAAATCAGGGGTTTTTTTTATGATTCTGAGTTGATTGTTAGCATTTATATTTCACCACAAGCACTCCATTGTTGAAATAAGGCCACCCTCACTTTTACATTTACATTCACAGTAGCTTTTATTTCACATACTTAAATAATATTCAGTTATTTCTCATTCACAGTGTCAGAAGCTTCAAGACTCATTGTCTATGTCTTCTTCAGACTCAACAACATCATGACTGCAGTTTCTGCCTTTACAGATTCCACAGGCCCAGATGCATGTGACCCCATTCTTCTTGCAGCTGCACCGCCAGTTGCTGCAATCTCTGACAATTACAGCTCATGAACTTCAGTAGCTCCTCAGGAGTCATGGGGTCTAGTGTTGGAACTGGTTTATACCATGTACACCTAATGTCCATCCATAGTCACAGGGGTTCAGAGACATGCTCTGTAGAAGGATCCAGACCTGGTCTGCAGGTAGGCACGGAGTGAATGCTGTGCAGCTGCACCCTCTGTTAGAGGTAGAGTCTCTGGTTTGATCACTCTTGCTGCTGCCTTCCTTGAGAACATGTTGTACCAAATTTCACTCAATGTAGTGTCTGGTCCATGATAGATGTACTGCAAAATTGCAGCACCAGCCTGAATCACTGCCTCCATTATTATTTTTCATATTTTTACTATGATGACAATCAGGATGATGATTATTATTATTATTATTATTATTTGTCAAAGTAGTAGTAGTGTTATCATTATTACCTGTAAAATGGAGTTGTTTTTCCATGGCCAGCAATTGTAGAAACCGTATCACACTCTGTGAAGGCATGACAGAAGAGCAGGTAGCCCTTTTTTTCTCTTTTCAGAGAGAGATTTGATGTGGTTTGATGTGGTTAAGAAGAATCTCTCTCTGAAAGACAGAAGGGCTACCTGCTCTTCTGTCTCGCCTTTTTCTGTAATTGCTGGCCATGGCAAAACAACTCTATTTGATAGGTAATAATGATAACACTGCTATTACTTTGACAAATAATAATCATAATCATCATCATCATTATTGTCATCAGAGTAAAAATATGAAAAATAATAATGGAGGCAGTGATTTAGGCCGGTACTGTGATTTTGCAGTACATTTATCATGGACCAGATACTAAATTGAGTGAAATTTGGTACAACGTGTTCTCAAGGAAGGCGGCAGCAGGAGTGATCAAACCAGAGACTCTACCTCTAACAGAGGGTGCAGCTGCACAGCATTCACTCCGTGCCTACCTGCAGACCAGGTCTGGATCCTTCTACAGAGCATGTCTCTGAACCCCAGTGACTATGGATGGACATTAGGTGTGCTTGGGTATGAGACAGTTCCAACACTACTGAGTTCACGAGTTGTAATTATCATGGAGATTGCAACAACCGGCGGTGCAGCTGCAAGAAGAATGGGGTCACGTTCATCTGGGCCTGTGGAATCTGTAAAGGCATTACATGCAGAAACTGCAGTCATGATGTTGTTGAGTCTGAAGAAGACATAGACAACGACTCTTGAAGCTTCTGACACTGTGAATAAGAAATAACTTAGTATTTTATAAGTATGTGAAATAAAAGCTACTGTGAATGTAAATGTAAAAGTGAGTGTAGCCTTTTTTTTAACAATGGAGTGTTTGTGGTGAAATATAGATGCTAACAATCAACTCAGAATCATGAAAGAAAAAAAAAACCTGATTTGACCCCTCATAAGTTACCTAAGGCCTGATGTTTAAAAAAATCTATTTTTCTACAATCATTTATAGGCACCCTAATTTGAGCAGGTTTTTTCAGGGTTTCCCACGGGAGTTGAACTTCAACATTTTAACGCAAGTTATTACACACCTTTACAAACATATTGGTGAAGAAATTGTTTGGCAACGATTTAGTTGGCAGATTTGTGAAATATCTTATAAAATGCCCTTACTAATGACTAGAGCAACTTTAAGATCAGCCTTCTTATTGTGGAACACCATGTCAATTTCCTGCTGGATGTGTTCCTCTCCATAAATGCTTAACAAGGCCATGACTTTGTTGTCAGTTCATCTATCCATTCATCTATCAAGGGATTTCTTCTTTATCTTCTTGTTGTTGTATTACAGAACAAAGAAAAAAAAAGTTGTTACATGTTTTTAAAAATGATGGGAAAATGCTATCATACTTTACCAACCAATACCATGTAGTATTGCGAAACTCAAAATGTGCTAACCTTCAAAATACGACCTGATCAGCAGGGACTTTTGGAAGTTTATAACAATCTTCCTGGGACAACTTGTTGACGACCTTGGTTTCTCTGGTGAAAATGCAGGTGGAGGACCTTACTTCCTCAGAAGTTCTTAGTTCCCAGTGGAAATTATTATGAATGAAATCTAGATTGAACTGTCTGAATGTGTCCCTTCCATCTCCCATCCGACACTGCTCTGACCTCAGCACATTCAAGTCCCTTTTAAAAACTCACCTTTTCAAGATTGCTTTTAATGTTTAACTGTTTTACCTTTATTTTTAGGCTGGAGTCTATCCCAGCCGACTTAGGGCGAAGGCAGGGGACACCCTGGACAGGTAGCCAGTCTATCGCAGGGCCACACTAAGAGACAGACAACCAAGCGCACTCACATTCGCCATTTTACATTTAGTGTGCAATTTTGTGCATTCACAGTCATTGTTCTTACACAAGCTTATCTTAGAAAATGGATCAATATTTGATCAGTATAATCTTAAGACCTTCGTGATTTTAACTTCTGAAAATTTTAGTTTTTGGTGAATGGCATTTCCGTGGCTTTGTGGCCAGTGTTGATGCTTTACTGTGAAACAGGAAGTTGTTTAAACTTAAATAAACACACTTTGTCCAAGCTTCCCCAAACATTCCGAGTTGGAAAGAGTCCCAGCATGAAGTTATCACTTCCCACTGGAAGCAGGATGCAGGGATGCTTGTGTGACAAGCAGGCTCTCATTTACATGGTATTTTCATAGTCTGGTACCCACTTACATACAGCAATAGAATGCAGGCTTGGTGCGTGTTTTCTAGTGCAACAAAGTGAGTATGGAAAGGATTCAAAACTTTTATTATTATAATGTACACAGCCATGTACTCAAGCAAGGCATGACATGTTACTCGCACTGCTACGTCAGTCAGCATCCTACCAGCACACCCAACATGCACAAAGGTGCATGGGCCTGATACTACTTTTAGGTTTACTACTGAAGTTGTATTTTGGTGACACATTGCAAGGCTCAGGCAAAGTAACTTAATATGCAGCTGCCAAGGGAAAAAAGGATGTCATGTTTCTCCATTACAGTTAATGTCTCGGTGTGTTTCTCTTCCCAGGTGGAACTGGAGTTGAGGGCTCAGGTCAGGCTGTTCATGGAACTGACAGGTCACCTGCCCCACCACATGGATGGGCACCAACACGTTCATGTGCTCCCAGGTAAGGCCACACAGACTGTCTCTGTTATTATTCACTCACCCAATAATAGCAAACATTTGGCTCAACAAGCTACACATTTCACACTGAGTAACAAAAGCAGCAAATAAAAATTGCCAAGAATGAAGAACATTTATCTGCAGGTTTTGAGAGAATGGGTTGATTTCATATGACAGATACTGTCCCACTCTGGGAGCTTACGCATGATATTCCTATGTCAAAATGAAGTCCAGGGCTGCCGCTATTGCTCAACTGCTTGAGCTGGCGACCCATATACAGGGCTGTAGACCCCGACACAACGGCCATGGGTTCGAATCCCGTTCATGGCCCTTTGCTGCAAGTCCATCCCCCATTCTTCTCCCCCACTTTCCTGTCTCTCTTTTCACTGTTTTATACAATAAAGGCAAAAAGGACCAAAAAAAAGTCCCATTTACATCACCTAGTGCATTTGTTGAAACTTTTGGGTTTCTTTTTGTTAAATTTCCATTTATTAAACGTCCATATTAGAAATTGTATGTAGCCGGTGGGGCCAGCCATCATGGTTAATAAAAGGAGAAAAAAGGACTACAATTCCCACTTCACCAGGGAAGGAGATGGAACAAAACCCACAGTTTATGTCCAGTGAACATTGCAGACAGGAAGACACTTGGTAAAGAGCCTCAAAAAGTCACCATCAGTCACAGTTCTAAACACAATTCTTTCAATTGAGTTACACAATCTCTGCTGAAGGTACTGCATTATCAAGGATCTCTTGCACATTAGAAAGAACCCCAGTTTCTCCTTTTGATCAGAAACATCAGGACTCAAATATATTGGGAGCCAGTTGGACTTATGGACAGCACACTGCACTCTGACACTGAACTGTGTTCTAAAACCATAGGTCCTGTCCTACGTACACTTTACACTGGGTGAAAACGTTTCAAAACAGTTCTTAAGTAAAAACCTGTAAAAACTAAATAAATAAATTTACTTTTTTTTTTTTAAAATAAAGAACACCACACTAAATAAGACTTTTAGTGTAATTCTACCACTTTAATCATGGCAGCACTGTTCATAGCACTAAAATGCAATCTGTAGTTAGGCCATAGGATTTCAAATAGTTTGAATGTTCATAGTGGAGAAAACAAGTAGAATCTATTGCAATTCCATTCGTTACCACGAGGTGGTGCTGTAGCCACCAGAAAGCATTGAGGACTCAGAGCTGGTTGAACAGCTGAAACGGCCATGAAGGAAAGCGTACATCAACTCTGCAAACTTCTTCAGCCCAAATGCTTGTAATTTGCTTAGACCCTGAGCATTGCTGCTTGTGGCTATTTTATTTACTGGCTATCACGACACTTTCCAGTAAATCTTTCACCTCCATACTTAACATTTAATTCACGACTGCTTTTTTTTAATAATTGTTGGCCATGATGATAACCACATTAAGTTGATGTGAGTGGCGAGAGTAGTGACGTTGTTGTGCTGTGTGTGTGTTATGCAGAGGTGCGTGAGGTGTTTGCACAGGTCCTGTCAGATTTCAGGATTCCATACACTCGTGTCCCGGTGGAGCCAGGATTACACAGCTGCCCGTGGCTGCCAGCACACCTCAAAAGATTTTACATGCAGGTGGAGAAGGACGCTCTGGATTCCATTCCTGTCTTCAAACGTTATGGAATCAGGTCTGGGATTTTTTGTGTGCGTGCATGCGTGTGTGCGCGTGGGCGTGCATGCGTACTGAAAAAAAAACACAAAAACAATTAAGTTATTACTATCTTATTATGAAAAAAAAGGTTTAGAGGAGGCTCTGTGTATCACTCTAGTCCTGGCTTATGTATAAGCAATAAACTATGCTTAGGTGGTTCTTTCCCACCATTGCCAACTGCTTGCTCAGATGGAGTCCAAAGGCAACTTTGGATTGTTGGGTTCTCTGTTTAAAATTCAAGAGGTCTTCCCGTTACTATGTTAGGCGCTGTGAGATGACATATGGTGTGAATTGTGCTATATAAATGAAATTGAATTGAATTGGGGCTGCAAGGTGGCGCAGTTGGTTAGCACTGTTGCCTCGCAGCAAGAAGGTTGCCGGTTCGCGTCCCGGTGGGGGCACCGGAATCTGCGTGGAGTTTGCATGTTCTCCCCGTGCAGCGTGGGTTCTCTCCGGGTTCTCCGGCTTCCTCCCACACAGTCCAAAAACATGTTGAGGTTAATTGGAGATTCTAAATTGTCCGTAGGTGTGAATGTAAGTGTGCTTGGTTGTCTGTCTCTAAGTGTGGCCCTGCGATGGACTGGCGACCTGTCCAGGGTGTCCCCTGCCTTCGCCCTAAGTCGGCTGGGATAGGCTCCAGCCCCCCCGCGACCCTAATGAGGATTAAGCGGTGTATAGAAAATGGATGGATGGATGAATTGAATTGAATACCATGCATATGGAATTTAAACCACCCCATCAGGTAATAATAAAAACAGATTGTGCGGGGATAATGTCACCTCACACAAACCAGTGGCGAGCTAAAGTGTGATGATGACAAAGCAAAAATGAACACTCATTGTTTCAGTCAATGGCTAATCCTATTTTATTGCTGTTGTATGCTATTATCGCATTTATGTTCTTTTCCTTTTAACTTAATACTATAAAGCACCCTGCGCAGTCTGTTCAAATAGTATAAATCTGTATGAACCTACAGTTACAGTACCTGGCAGACATTGAGCCTGCTGATTTTGATGAAAACAGGTTATTGCTGATCTTAGCATTTTTAACATCAGTACCCACAGTAGATCATCCATAGAATTTTAAGGTTCAAGAATTTACCATCACAGAAGGTGACATATCAGTTAGCCTGATGTCTTTAGGTCAGCTTCTCACCATTAACATTATGTGGTGCAGGATCCCATGGCTGACAATTAATCATGTCTAAACCTTTTTAATTCCCACAGGTGGCCAGACATGTACCTGGGACTGACCACCATGGGCCAGAACATGTCCATCCCCAGCCTGCAGAGGGCCCTCAGCCACGCCTCGGCTGCAGGGCCTTCGGGCACTACCTCCAGCAGTGCATCAGGTTCTAATCAGCCCGTGGTCACAGCAGAGCTTATGGTTCACCCAGGTTACCCAAGTCACCCCCATGAAGGAGGCTGTGGAGAGGGCCCTGATGACTTCTCCCAGTCAGCAGACAGACAACATGAGCTGAGCGTGCTCAGAGACCCGTCTTTGCTGGCCCTCTACAGCCAAGAGAGAGTGCAACTATGTGCCTTCAAAGACCTCTGACTACTGTAGTCTCAAAATAACAAACATGTATGTGTAAGATGGATCCAATGTGAAACAATGTTAAGCGTATTGGATGTAGACTGCTCCATATGTCTAGAAAGGAATAATGATTTTAAACAGTTCAAGATTGTTGTTTATTTAATGTTTAAGTCCTGTCTGTCTTTAATGAGCACTCTTTCCATCAACCTGAGGCACTCACATGTTAAGTGTCAGCACCTTAACAGACAGAAGTCCATCAAATATGAGCTTTGAGAGTGGAGTCCTATAACACTAGCACTTTTTTAAAGAAAACTGAAAAAAAATACTAGAATAATGGTCACTGCTACAGTGGTAAAACTCTATGAAGCAGTAGTTTTTAAATGGTAACAAATACAGGATTAATGCTAAAATTGTGAAGGATTTTTTTACCGGAAACATGTTTTAGTTTTTCAAAATGAACAATGAAGGAACCATCAAAGATCTACTAAGATACAGAGGCTGGGCATGAAGAGGCGTCAGGATTTCAATTTTCTGGAAATTCTTGCAGTTGAGCATTAAATGCGCCGACAGCTCCTTCACTTTCCCAAGTGCATGACTGCTAAGCACCGAAACACTCTAAAACCACTGTAACTTATGAACTGGAATACTAGAGACCACATTAACGTGACAACACACTGCAGAGATCTTGGACCTCAGCCATCTTGGAACTAGGCTTTTCATTTTTGTCTCAGCAACACCCTTAAAGTTTTGTAACTCTTGTACAGTTGGAGTTCACAGACAGACCGGAAAAGAAACACAAGGTGAAAACAATACAGCTACACTATCACAGCTGGAAAATATTTTCTGTTTATACACCAGAAAAGGATACTTAATACGAGGGTTACAAATACATGAAGGTGGAAAAAATGGGCTATCTTACTTCCAGCACCCGTTCCTCCTAATAAGGGGTTTGACATCGCCACCCTTCAAATTTGACTTTCAGCTATAAACCTTTAAAGTCCGTGACTGCACGTTACGTAGTTGGAAATGCTATATAAATACCTGTCAAAGCTATAAAAGGTCAGATCTTGGGTTTAACTTTGGTGAGTAAATTTAAATAGAATTTTTTCCATTTAGTGAGCAGGTGAGTTATTATCTGAGCTTCATGTCTTGTCTTAAAGTCAGAATCTAGTACTGTCTGGACTGTCAATATTTTTATCTGTACATGTCACAGATTACCTATCTGATACAGGGTTTTTTGTGGGGGGTTTTTTTTTTTTTTAGAAATCTGGGGAAACATAAGTCCATTGGTGAAGAAAAAAAACAAAAAACTTTTCATTGAAAAATCCTGGAGGGATGGGTTAATAGGGGCCAAGCTGTGTTTCTGTCTCTGGTTTTGACCTAGGATGCAGCAATGATTTCCAATAATCTCAGGTTTTTGTGTGTGATCTGTGACATTACACTATATTTGTAATATTTAGAGTTGTCTGGATTTTTGAATGCTTATATTTTGAGTTTCTGTTTAAGGTTTTTTTAAGCATTGCTCAGTTTGAATTCAAAGATTATATTTGAATTGCTTCAAATCCAACAATGAGCTAATAAACCATGTCACACTTTTGTTGAGTGTTTCCTTCTGTGGTTTTTTTGTTTTTTAAAATCTAATTTTATTGCACTTTCGACAATCCCAGTAACTGATAAAGAACATTTAGGAAGTTAATATCATAAATATTGGAGATTAGGCCGGCAGAGGAGTGTTTGAAGTTTGACGTCAATGACGTCCATATTTTTCTTGAGTATATTCATCGAGCTCGAAGAGCAGAAGATTTCACTAGTTTAAAAGCAGCACATCCTTTGTAAAGGATGTACAGCTCAAGCACCAACCAGCAGCACTTGACGTCGGCCAGCTCTGTTAATAGTGGAACATGTTGGAATGTGTCATGACTGATGCAACAAATACTGTGAAAACATTAGAATGTGTAGAAGTTGCCACATCATACACTCTGCTAGACACCTGTTACCTGTGGATTCATCCGCATTTTGTTCAGGTGGTTGTAATCATTTTATTGCAATTACTGAGTTTGTTTTGCCTTATGTGATAGACATATTTATCACATTTATTGGAAATCCTTAGTAACAAGGTTGAAAAAAAAAAATGTGCACAACTCATGACGGTCTAACTTATGTGACAGAAACAGTAAAAACTTCTGCAAAGGATAAAACGGTGAATCCTTTGAGAGGCCCCCTCTGTCTTCAAAATCCATCCATCCATCCATTATCTATACACCGCTTAATCCTCACTAGGGTCACGGGGGGCTGGAGTCTATCCCAGCCGACTTAGGGCAAAGGCAGGGGACACCCTGGACAGGTCGCCAGTCCTATCACAGGGCCACACTTAGAGACAGACAACCAAGCACACTCACATTCACACCTACGGACAATTTAGAATCTCCAATTAACCTCAACATGTTTTTGGACCGTGTGGGAGGAAGCCGGAGAACCTGGAGAGAACCCACGCTGCACGGGGAGAACATGCAAACTCCACGCAGAAAGATTCCGGTGCCCCCACCGGGATGCAAACCGGCGACCTTCTTGCTGCGAGGCAACAGTGCTACCAACTGCGCCACCCTGCAGCCCCCTTTCCTCAAAATGCATTTTAAAAATTGAGACATCCTTCAAGTGGATACACCAACATCAATTTTCATGTCACAGAAAGAATGACGGAGGACAGAAGCGATGAGGAGGCTCAAAATGGAGAAGAGCCTCAATTGTCAAGCATGGTGATAGAAATATTATGGTTTGAGGTTACTGGCAGCTTGCAGTCACTGACTCAACTTTGACCTCTGCATTATGTCAAACAGTGCTTGAAGATAATGGGAGGCCATCTGTCTGAAGTGGATAATGATCCTCAGCACACTAGCAGAGCCCATAAAGTATTGGCTGAAAAAGAAGAAACGGAAGGTTTTGGAATGGCCTTGTCAAAGCCAAAATTTAAGTTGCCCCTTGCTCTAACTGACCCCCCACTCCTCTTGATGGGGAGGTCAAAAAAGGGGCTTCGGAGGTATTTCCTTATCCAAATATGTCAATAACGAAAACAATTTTATGTGACTGTAGGCTATTGTTACCATGTAGAAGAATGCGTTTGCACGTTTTGTTGAACTAACTTGATTTCAGGCAATAAACTGCATAATTCTTATTTGCATACGTTGTCCCACATCTTCATGGCATAAAATCCTAAACTGGGTTACCTACATCCGTTTCAAAATTCTACTTACGATACACTCTCAAAAATAATCACCATGTAAAACAATGTCCTATAGATGGGATCCACTGTAAACATGATTTAATATAGGAAATATGCACAAGGACTATGGAACCAAAAAATGTTGCTGTTTTTTTTAAACTTTGGATTCCATGCTATGGTTGAAAGACTAAAATGTGTCATGAGCTCTAGAAACAAACTAACAGGACTATGAGTTGTGACTTTTGACACAATATGTAGGAACTGTATAATCATGGCATTACATATTTTATGTTTGTGATGCATGTTAATTAAACTGCATAAGTAAATTCACTTGCTTTCTAACAAACTCTTCAACAAATCATGATGAGTTTGGATTTGTTTCGTTCCTGTGTAGTCATCACAAACCAAACACATGCAACATCCACTTCACTACCAGGCAGACAGTGAGGCCAAGTGGTTAGCCATCTTTATTATGAAACAATATTGGGACCAAATCAAATAGCTGTTACATGGTAGTTTTTTTGGCCACTGCAGTCCCTTTCCATGTCCTGACACATCCCCAGACAGCCAGCCCTCTCCCAGCTGCCTTCAAGGTGCTTGTTTCTAGGACCATCTCCAGGAGCTGAGCTTCATTCAAGCTGAGTGCATCCTTCTCCAGCTTCTCCTTCCCCCCATCCCGACTAGTTAGGTCCCTTTTAGCTGGGCAGCTGGCAGTTGATCTGCAGCTTAAATATGTCAAAGTGTGGTAAAGGGCTCTGTTTCTAATGGGATAGGTGGTAACACTGGTGTACCCAGCAGTGGGAGAGGGGACATGCGTGAAAGATTCAAATTTATCAAACATATATTTCCCCACTTTTCGACCAATTTCATATATGAAGTGCCAATCCAAACAAATTAAAGTGAAAAAAGCAAATGATTATTAAGGAAAAATAAAAATCACAATAGCTAGTCCACATGCAGAAAGTTTTAACAGCACGATCTGAGAGTGCAACAGATCTGTTGCAAAAATCCATCAAATGTATATTTAAGAAAATGGGGGGATAGTGCACTAATTTCAGTTTAAAAGTCTACAAACTCTAACTGGATGTTTGGGAACCAATTGTATTTACTTTGACACTCAAGAGTCCTTATTTTCAGCAAAAACTATTTAATTCACATGTGGCCTGCTATTTTCTGTTTCTGCCTAGTGGGTCACAAACTGTGGGGTAGGAGATTTGAGAGGGACTGTTCCACAGAGTACAGTGCAATTCTAGAAGCAGTGGAGGTGAAAAAGGGAAACGTTTCCATCAGCACACCTCCAGGTCCTAGCTACAGCTTCTTTCTGTCACATTTGTTTCAGGTTGAAAGATTATATATGACAGGGTAATTGGGGAGAAAAAAAGAGCAATTGGCCAGTTCTGTTCTGCTCTTCAAAAAAAAATGTACTTCAGAAAAAATAATTTCTAAGTGAAATTGATTTAAAACAAGAATTGTTTATATAGAGGGGAAGCCAACAGAAAATTAACACATCACTGAGTATTCCCATCTAACTCTTCATCTGAACATTGTGTTCCCTTAGCATTTCTTTTTTCCATTTTTCACTTTTAGAAAGAGTAGAAAGTTAGAAATGGTCTGGAGATTTATGACTGAGAAGGAGGAAAAGGAGGAAGAGGAAGCTGTCTGATCCACAGAGAGTCCTGGATGGGGAGCAAGGCTGAGGCTGCCGCTGCCTAGCTTCAGCTGGGCGGCTCCAGGGCTGCAAGGAGGAGTGGTGTGGAGAGCAAGGAGGGGAGGAGAGTAAGCGAGGAAGGTGATGAGGTGGGGGGGAGGGGGTAGCAGATAGGGGAGAGGAAGATCAGTATTTGGTCGGGCTGGTGAGACAGGAGGAGAGGGGGAGAAAGAGACAGAGAGAGGGCGACGCTCTTGTCAGGTGATCAGTCCATTGGCCGCTTTTCGCCGTGTTTCTTTGTAAACTCTTCTGCATTCTTCAAGAATTTTTTACGGTCCTTAGAGTATTCTTCTGCTAGGTCTGCCCTCAGGGGATGCTCTGGCTGGGGGTCATTCACCAGCGCAATGAGAGACTGAATTACTGCAAAAACACAGCCAAAGACATTAGGTTAGTACAAACAATAGCCCTGATTTTCACTGTCACCTAGTCACTAGAAACGTGTAGTAAAGAGCATAGGAAGATGAAATTTATTGCAGCACAACACAATCAGCCCATTAAGTACTTCATGGATACAACCACCTGCCAAATGAAAATACACAGCTGTATTTTTTTTTGGCTCCACTTAGACATAGTCATAAGTCCAATTTAATTTAATGAAATCTGACTGTTTGCTAAACACGGCTATTGCATCAATGTAAAAGCCACACATGCCCTCTTAAGTTACTTCATTTTAGTTTGAACAGTCATGAAACAGAGTGATCTGTGATTCTCTCCTAGTGGTGAATTTATGTGATGAAGAAACGATCTGATGACAGAGCTTTGCCCTTTAGCTGCAAAACAATGCAGCATTTATAAGCAAGCACATCGGAAAACTCAACAGGGAACACATGAACTTCCAGTTCACAAAGCAAAACGTGGTTGGCATAGAATAAGTATCAGACACCACAACGCTGTCCACTGATATGAAGATGAAAACGACCGTCTTTGGCACAAAGTTCCCTTTGGTGTTAAGTAGCTTCCAGCGGTCTTCCTGTATGTTGCAGCAGTACGCCAGGTTGATGTTTTAGGATAAAAGACCACAAAAATGTTTAAGCTTACTTTCGTAATGCAATGACATTAACTTCTTCAATAAAATTATTTACATTTGGCACAAATGTTCACTAAATTTGATACTTTTTGCTTTCCTGATACAGAGGCTGATTTATAAATTGTATTAAAACACATCTATATACTGTATAATATATAACTTACTGCTCATACGATTTGGAATTCTTAGTTTGTTGCACAATGACTAAGCCCATGTCGCAGACTAAGTGGCTGTGTGTAGTAGTGTAACCACCCACATGAGTCTGGATATTAAGTGTGTGCTTGGACAAAGAAGTACTAAACAAACACACACAAGTAATCTGTAGTTTAGCACAGTAACAAAGCAAATAATGTGATTTTATATTTACAAGTCCACCTTTCTACAAGTGGTAACACAATTGGTCTTTTAAATTACTTCATGGAACCATAACACTGAACATAACATTGGAAATTACAGTAACTATGAAACCTGTATCAGGACATTCTTCAGAGCTTAAGGGTTGCAGGGCTGTAACCACATACAGGTGCATCTCAGAACACATTCAGACTTTGTTCCCTTCATGTAACAACTAAACGGGTCAGCTGCATGTGTTCATGTGCATCCTGGTCTCTAATCCGCAAAAGTCACGCCAGTAATCCCACT